TGTAAAATTCAATATATCTACAATTACATAGCGTATCTGCACTAAGGGAAGGTATAGGTCCTCGACCTATCTGCCATGCCCCATGAAGAAAGTGCTCATCTCATCATGGGTCCCGAATCAAGCATTAGACCGTAACCTATTGGAAAGCGTCATTCACTACTAAAGCCATATATATACTCCACTGATCTGCAACTGAACTTGTTATCTGACCAGGATCGGGGCACGTAGTAGTTGGCGAATCAGGATCTATTCCAAAGTGCTTCTTCTACATCTGCAGGTGCATCAAGGTAGCTCTGGGGAGTATCACAATCACATCACATAGACAGACCCGGAGCGCAACACAGCCCGATCGATAGCTCGTCACCGTCCACACCCATTTTTGGACCTTACTTGCTTGGACTAAGAATACCATGTCGACGCCGATAGACCTATTACAGAAATCAATTTAGGGAAGACGAGCATGGTAATCGAAAATATATAAACAGGACGAAGTCCCCCTCTTCCATCCTCCAAAGTAACGCTCGACCTCGGATATCCTTGTTCACTATGAAGTTTTTTGCCACTGCTCTAGGTCTTCTGGGCCTTGTCCCATTGGCAGTTGAGGCTTCAACAACATCGCGCACTCTCACCCCCGCGCATCCTCCTGGCCACAATGCTAGTGACCCAACTCATTTGTCTCCAGCAGTCACGCAAAATCTCCACTTCCGCGAGAATGGGAAAACTGGTAGGACTTTTATATCTTATTGATAGGGTGAATACTTTTACTGACTGAATCGTCATTCAGAAAACGACACATCCTCCTTTGGCCATATGGTCTCGAACTTTAATCACCCCACAGTCGTTCTAGACCATTCCTTGCACATTTCTAGTGTCACCTGTTCCCCAGGTGAAATGAACATCTGCTTCGAGTCTGAGGATGCCGAGCGTCAGGCCAGTGAAGAGTGGAAGCTAAGCCAGTCGCCCCTTATCCTGGCGACCTACCACTCTGGCTGCGGTGACTACTCGAGTGGTGCACGAAGCTATTGGAACGTGTCCTCGATTACCTTCCAATCGGGGCAGCGATGCGCGCGTGCCAGTGTGACTGAGGTGCCGCTGGAGGAGGCGGCTAAGGACTTCGACCTGGCATTCGGCCATTACCAAACCGCAAATAATGGAGCAGTAACTCGTCGCAGCACAGGAGATACGATGATCGCCTCAAGCAGCACTGAAGACATTTCCGATGACCCGGAAGCGCTTTCTGACTTCTTTGGCATCGAGATCACAGAGGACTACACCGAAGTGCCGGAAGCCGAGCCTCTCCAATACAACGGCTCTGCAACGATTGCAAGGAGGCAAGTACTTCATCGAAGATGGGTCATAGGTTGGTTTAAGGAGAAAGTTACGGTATGCGTCTCCTCTCAATCACTTATCGTCAGAGATCTTAGGAATAGAGGCTAATGAATACCAGCAAGTGAAAGAAGCCGTTGTGGAAGGATATCATAAATATGTTGAGCCGGTCGTCAAAAAGGTTGTCGATTTTGGCGAGAAGATTGGGAACTTGATCCAGGATGCTCTGGGTTACGAATGGAGTCTTGCAGCATCGGTCAGTCAGAACTGGAATATTGGTGGGAAGGGTACTCAGAAGGTTCCCACCACGTCTGGTCTGTTTGGCGAAGGCGAGGGCCTAGTAATTGCGGCTAGTGGGGTCTTCCCAGGTGAGCTGAGCTGCGAGAACTGCTACGCCAAGGGTGATGTGTCCGTCTCTGGTCACATTGGATGGAGCATCAGTGATGGCCTCAAGACAGGCTATCTCAAAGCCGGCGGGTCATGGGACTCCCAATTGGCGCTGGCTATGAAGCTGCAGGGCCAGAAGAAGATTGAGGGATACAAGAAGCAGCTGCTGTCCAAGAATCTGGTCAACTTTGAGATCCCTGGCGTCATCAGTATCGGGCCTGAAGTATCGCTCAGTGCCGTCATCGATATCTACTTCCAAGCCCAGGCAAACGTCCTCATCGGAGCCCGCTTTGAGGTCTCCTCGGGTGAGGCATACTTGGACCTAGTCAGCACGGCGAACAATAAGCTCAGCGGGTTCAACACCAAGTTTACGCCCATTTCCAAGTTCGACGGGGCCGAGGCGACGGTGACTCTCGACTTTGGCCTGCCGCTTGGCCTGGAGTTCGGCATAGATTTGCTCAATGGCAAATGGAAACGTACCGCCGGCATCTTCGACCAGCCTTCATTCCAGGTCGTTGGCAAAGCCCCATCGTCGGATTGCAGTGGCATTGATGTCAACCTGGTAGTGCAGAACTACTTTTACCTTAGTGTGGGCGGTCTCTATGACTATTCCATCGACCTGCGCGAACTGTGGAGCAAGCCTTTGGGATGTGTCGGGTAAGCTGACTATGCATAGTATTTGGGATAGCAGATTATAGGCTAACTCCATATCTTCAGGACTTCCCAATCCTCCAGCAAGGTGGCACAAAGATCTTTGGACAGCGAGAAGATCACCATCGAAGCCCGCCAGTCCAACACCACCCTCGAGGATCCTGGACAAGCTGTCAACGAAACCTTCGGCAACGGCGGCAGCTCATCACAGCCTCCGACATTGGTTCCTGTCGCGGTGAACGAGACCGCTGTCGAGCCTGTCACTGGTTTCTCCTACAAGCTGGTCTCGGATATTAACGAGACAGCCATCATGATCTCGGGCAAGGAAGATCGCATCTACCTCGCCCCGTATGGTGACCCAGATGCCAGTAGCGGCGCTCCTTTTGCCGTGGAGGCTGAGGCCTCCGAATCGGTGCTCATCGGCGACGTTTTTGGTGGATACTTCAACTACAACCCCACCGAGATGAAGCAAGCCGGAGTTAGCAACCTCCGCTCCTCCAGATTGACCAATATACCGGTCGGTTCTAAATTCATGTGAGTGATCCAATCCAAAATGTACTTATTTTGGTGCTAACAAACGTAGTGCTTTGGCCGAAGTCCCTACTGAAGAACTTGGCAAATCCTCAGGTATGTACGTGGGGGTGGATGAGGATAACTTCTACGCCCTCGTGGCGTGCAGTGTGATCGACATGGGGACTCGCGTATATGTGGCCAACGCCAGTACCAATGCGGTGGATAAGTTGAACAACAACGAACTCGCGGATACTGTGGTGGGTGGTAATGTCCGCGGGTGCCAATATGTATATCTGACATCTGGCACGAAGGGGTTGGTTGTGACTTGAGTATGTCTCAATCTCAAGAACCCACTTAGTACTTTTGTCTTCTGGATCTTTTATTGGATTCCATGTTCATAGTATCTTACCTTACGGTGATAATCGCAAGGTAGGGTTAACTCCAATGGAATATGTTTATAAACTGTCGGGCTATGCGTTAAGTAAACGAATATTCTTATCTGGCGATAGTGTCGCTGAAGTGAAGACCTTTATATATTTTGCATTGAAGACATCATCAGTACCCTCCGTAAACAGAAGTTAGCAACCATCCTCGCTGACATATATACCGGAGATCCTGAGTGGCCACATTCTAAATAATACTGTTTGCCATACTATACGGACAGGAAACTGTCAATGACAACTGGCTTTCTCTTCTCAATGGTCAAAGCCCTGATAGACGCATAACTCTATTCATAACACGACAACCCCACGGTTTCTGTTCACCAGACTAACCATACACCCTATTTTCAACTCAGTCCACCAGACCTTCAGCCCTGTGCACCTCCTCCCCACCTGGCACCTGAATATTACCACCAAAACTTCCAAACCCTTCTGTATCCGGTACCTCTATCTCCATCCTCACCAACACTGCAACCTCCAACTCCCCTTGGCCTGGTTCTGTGGCGGGATATGTTTCAAAATCTAGCACATGCCCCCCACGTTGTTCATCCTCTGCCAAGAAAGAAGGTGAATCCCCGGCACCCCAAAGCCGGCCATGTATTGGGGTGACCAGAAGCCGAAGAGTGTGCCTTTAATCGGCCCGAGCTTTATCAGATATTGTTTGACTGTTGTCCTGTTCTGAAGATTTCCCTACTAGAATGGAGTATGGCTACAAAAAGCTAAATATAATCTTCTACTCTGTTTTTCTTTGGTTGTGATAATGCCGGCTGGATGCTGGTTGTTTTGAACTTGAGGGATACTGTCTCATTCCAGCACAGTTGTGACCCCGTTAGATAGACACGGGTGCATCTCCTAGTCCCATTACTTCTGCTTATCTCAAGTCATGCCAGTTTTGTTGTCATGGCTAGCGAATTGCTCAGGCTTGAGGTGATGCTCCCCTTGTTGTCTTCCGCCGGTAGTGTGATCGCTGGGTCTGTCTCTTCCGAGTGATATATAATATATTTGTCAGTAAGTAAAGTATCTGATAAGGGCGTTTATCTGACGTTTGTGTGCGACGGAGTGGTGTTGGCAAAGAAATTATCAGGAATAGTCTGTAGAATTATGAAGTGTAAATGGCGCGTGCACTATTGTACGCGACTGTAGGAGGCTGTTTACATACTTAACTTCTGTTGTAAATGAATATTTATGCTATTTTAGCCTGGCTAAGCAGAGCGAGTATTAGACAAGCACTGCATTACGCAGGGATATGTGAGTCATGGAGAAAGCGTCATCCCTGAGTAGTAGACCTTCTGAATAGTAATAGAATAGTAATAATACTAAGCCATTTGTATTTACGTCATAAGCCAATAGCCGTGTTGACACAATCGCCCTTTACACACGTTGATACTCATTACGATAGCTTAATGAATTCACTATTCTCCCAACTGGTCAAGCCTTGGTAAGTTGAAAGGTTGAAATATATTACAATCTGTATGTTATTACGAGCAACAATATAATCAAAAAAGCTGTCTCTCAGCAACTGATCGTCTTTGTCAGTTCTGTTTTACGCTGCTGAAAATGATAAAATTGTCAATAAGCCATGAGTACAAGCGACTAAAATGAGAATTAGGGTATTCAGACCCTTGGTGTTCCCATCGCGTGTACATACTTATATTTCAGTTGCATATGAACGAAAAAACAGTACTTCACTAAAACTAAATACACATAATACCTATCTTGCCACCAGCCACAAGTTCGGTTGACCAATCACCTTGCATGAACTCTTACCAAAAGAGTGAGCCGAGGCGTCAATCTCAGGGGCTCCTGCAATCAACCGCGCCACCACAGCATTGGTCCTCATTATTCTTCCAGATACAGTTGTTCTCCTGCGCTTTCACATCACACGGCACCTCGGTGAACTCGAATGGAATACACGCCTGCTTATCATTCTGGTAGAAGGTCATGGCAGGCGTCTTGGACGGGCAAGCCGGACCCAAACCATAGTCAAACCCACCCAAGCAGTACTTTCCACAAGGCCACTTCGTAACAGAGAACTTGCCGGCCAGCGCAAAATTAGCCGTCTTGCCAACGTGTGCGCCATTCTTGGCGGAATTGAGCCAGCTATTCGCGTGCGCCCCGTTGGGCGGGTTACCGTGAATGTCCATGATGTACACCTGATCAGCCGGGTTGATGGCCTCTCCAGTCTTGCACTCCTCTTCTTTGCAGAGCTTGAAGCGTCCGGATTTCAGAGCAATGCTTTCGGGCGCAGCGCTGTAATAGCCACCACCGAAGCCGAGGAGGTTGCCGTTATCGCCTCTGAAGGTGTAGCATTTCCCTAGGTTTGTTAACACATTTTCTCCCCATTGAGTCCAGATGAGGAATTATCCTCCATTGGGCAGTGGGTGAGGGACAACACCTACCGGTCTCCAAACCTGAAGAGCACTTAACAGGAACACAGGTTCCATCATCGTCCTCTCTAGTCCCCTTGGGACAAACACATTCTCCGTTCTTCAGCATCTTTCCGTTCTCACACACCGGCTCCGCAGCTTGGCAGGTAGCACCGTCATAGGTCTGACCCTCCGGGCAGCATATATATCCCCTGTCTTTGGAGCCGGCGAGATCATGACCCTCAGCACAGCAATCGAAAGCCGTCTCAGGAGACCCGACGAGTCTCTGCCCAGGGAGACAGCAGCCAGCATACTTCTTGCTGTCGCTGAGGCTGAGCTTCTTGTTTTCTCCTTGGTTATCGCAGTCAATAGAGGTCTTAAAGCCATCCTCAACCCAGGTGATCGAGTTGCCCTGGATGGACGAAGTTCCTTGGATTTCCTTGACTGGGACATTGGTCGTGTATGTCTTTGCGGTGGCCAGGGAGGCAGTAGATAGAAAGATGGTAGTCACGAGGGAGAGTGAATAGGACTTCATCTTGAAAGATAGACTCGGGCGTTAGTTCGCCAAATAGATAAATGAGTGTGGTTGTTTGTTCTGATAATGATAGAATGTTGAGAGGAGACGGGTGTGTTCTGCCCCCCTTTTATATCCGTCGAAACAAGAAACTTCATCATCGGACACCCCAATCTCTTCCATCTGAACATCTTCCTTGTCCAATCGCATGAAGCCGGTTTCTGAACAGCCAGGCTCGGCGCCGCCACCTCTATCAGGCTCCACTTGAGATCCATGAGTTTCTTAACAAGGGCAAGCGAACTTCATTTTCCGAATTCCATGGCTGGCTGGAATAAGTTGAGTATCTGCAACCCGAGATATTCTTTTCTTTTGCGTTGTCATCTCCATGTGGGGATCGCGGAGATAGACGAAACCCAGCAAGCTGCGTGCTGCAGAAAAGTTCCGCACGGCCACGGGCCAATCAGGGCTGCCGAGCTAACATATTCATGCAAGACATCAGATTTGTCAGGCGGAAGAAGAAAATGATATGTCAAGAAGTAAACCCAGGTCTCAATTCAGGTTTCATGACAATTCTCTTGCATTGCCCTATCCAGAAGAGAACGAATTGTGAATTCAGTGGCACTGAAGCATATGTTTCACAAAATGGTAGAAATCAATGTCAATTGCTTTGTTGCTCCTTGTACAGAATACATTCCACATCAATTTCTGACAGTAGGAGCATGAATAGCACCCTGTTATTGAGTTTCATAGCAAGGCGAAAACATTGCTTTTCTCGTCTACATATAACAAACTACCAATTGCAGCACTCGTCTAGGGTCACAACAGCACGAGCATCGTAGCTGCCAGTACCCACGACAGCTATTACTGAGTTTCGTAGGCTAGAAGAACTATGCACTACTCGCATATACGCGCGAAGTTTTTCTGGCGCAACCCGGACAAGATATTGGCCGGGCAACCTGCAAATGTGGAGCGATCATTTAGGCGATGCAGGGTCATGGGGTCTCAGCTCAGCTGCGCCCATGGGTAACGTGGATATGATTATGCTTCTTGAGAGGGCCGGTGGAGAACTGGCTCGCCTCCGATGGACCCACCGCGGCTGAACTACAGTACTATGGAGTATTTCTACGGAGTATTTATTCATGACTATATCCACCTCTATCTACTACCTGCATCGTGCATGTATATAATCTACCCATAATCCCCAATCCCCACATAGATCCCACCTACCTGCGACCGAAAAATGAGGCACAAATAGTAGTGGCCCATTCCACTATCCCACCAGACGATCATCTAGATAGCTTACGTGTCTCAGAAAAGAATAATGGAGCACAGTGCCCATAATAGTAATTTGAAAAGCCAGAAGATTGATTAGGCTGAAGCAAGAGAATGAATGCCTAATACCCAAACCGCAATCGAGACCATGTGACTACGTCTCCCTGTTGGCAGGCTTTCAGTTACCTGCAATCGTTTCATCTTTGTTTCTGTTAATTCATATGCTCTTTACTGGAGGGCCTGTTGCCGCCCAAGCCCTCACTTCATCGTTCACCTGCTTCAATAACCGGAAAATTCATTTGACATGTCAAGGCTACTCTCCGCATTCCATGGGCGTCGATGGATAACGTAATTCCTATCCGACTCAGCCACCCGTGTCATACCATACGGAAGGATCTTTTTTCAGATATATAGATAATCATCAGAAAGCTTTACGAAAATTCTGGGAAATACATTAGTATCTAATCCACCTTTATATCAGTTGAGAAACGAGTAGCTGTTACAATGATCATGACGCTTTACGCTGACAAGGTGTCTTGTATGGTACGGAGTACATATGTAGTGATTGTTTATTACTTTAATCACAAATTACCATTTTATTGTTGGGGTTGTGACTACCATCATTTGCTGTACTATATTTCATATCTAATCGTCATACTGCATTTAGAAAGAATAAAAGAAACAAGCTCCGAAAACGCAGCATGAGAACCTGAAGGAAAGGCCTGCGCTAGCAGAATGTATGTGACTACACCCTGCTGAACGTAGGAGGAGACAGCCTTTCTTATTTCTACAGGTATGACGCAATATTGATTCTTGGAGATATAATGCCCCAACATATGATCTCCAGGTAGATGAGCTTGTTCCACCATAAGCCCGTCCACAATAGTATAGTAAGGAATTGTTATATTTCCCGTCAAATCCCACTGACAGGTCTTTCAGTTATCTTCAAAACATAGCCTGTAGCTCCTGTACCATACCACCTGAAAGTATTGTATGTATAAAAATATAAATAATACATCTAGGATCCAATGCATTAAAAAATCTGAAAGAACTCTATGAACTTCAGAGGTAGTTTTCTTGATTTTTTGAATTATAGGTTCTGAATTAATAATTTAATTGAATTCGTTTCATTCAAAGCAGAATGGCTTCATGTATTTATATTCTATTATGATATTTGTTTTAGATTTCTATAACTGTTCATTAAGGCCTTTATAATTATTCTTATATTTTTTTTCAAGTCTCTGTAATAAATTAGTGGTAGCGACTACCTACTCCCGTGTATACATGTCTATATAAGCAGGATTCTAGGGGTCCGCAGGTAGCTGCGGGTAATGATGGTCTTTTTGGCCTTGCGTGTACAACTCCCCTAGGTTGTTCTATGACAATTTACCCGCAGCTACCGGTTAGCCGGAGGTTTCGCGTTCGAAATGCTTTCTTTGCGGGTTTCGCATTTGAAATGCTCCCTTGCTGGCTGAGAGGTGTTCTTAGTACTCTAGTCCGATGATATCATGACCCCGGGTAAGTATTCGGTTATAATATTACTATACCAGCTGAACAGAGCAGCCTCGGGGCTTTTACTTAATATTCATACCTAAGTTATCAGACCGGGGGAAAGAATCACGTACTGCTATTCTCAAATATGTACCGGAAAGAGTTCCAATTAAAACGAAACTAACCTCCCGTTTGCTATGTCATTAAGAGTAATGAGAATTTTGTGAGATCTAGTAGGAATAGACTTACCCAATATACATGAAATTGGAGAGAGAGTTTGCCACCAACGGCTACTTGCAGATGGTGTAAACGCCAAATATAAGTTATAAAAAGCCTACCTGGCTGTTCCTATCCATTTTGTGAGGTTATATAGCTTCCCTGAATAATTATCAGTTGTTCTCATCTGTGCTCTGACATGGTCGTGTGCAATCATGGAGTCACTACTCAATAAGCTCACCTACGCCATGACACTACTGTGGCCAAAGTCAGGCATTTGGAGACCACGATCAGTGATGGCCAATCTTCACCTAGAGTAGCGAAGCAAGTTCTATGTTGTAATAGAGCTCGGCAGCGGAAGAGGGGTAGGAAATAACCCATATTCTCTCTGAAATAAAACTCTCAAGGTGTCCGTATCTATTATCAGACAGCTTATTTAATACCAACTACCCCTTTGATCTTATAAGGGTATATTTACCGTTTCCCGATTTAAACATAGTGTATCCCCTCGCGTCACGCCGTCCACAGGTGCTCTTGTGAATAAGGTAAATTATATATTGGATGAACTTTGGTTGCTTTAAGATCCTACTGTCTGCGGTGCACCCAGATCCTGTTCGACTCAGCAATCCTTCAAGTCATTGAATGAAGTGTGTCTCGCCTCCCAGCCGGGAGGAGCCGGTGTCACCAGGCCAATACCTGTCTGATACTCAAGCGAAAGGATCTTTAGAGGGATGTATCGGCCCACCTGTGGTAATGTATTACATGTGTATCAGCGATTCTGTTCACCGTCAGAATAGACGAAAAGACCTCTTTAAGGCCCACTAATGATTATGACAATCTTTACCGACCAATCATGGTAAGAGACCGTCTTTGCTGAGTGGCTCGTGGTTTCGGTGTTCCTTTGAGCCATTGCCGGGAATTCCGGGTGTGAGGGTGCAAGTCTCTTGGCTAGATCCACCAGGAAAGCCAGCCATCATCGCTAGAAAACTTTCAGTCAATACATATACAGCTATTACAACTTCCCCTGAAGCCTCTGGTTCTGTTTGGATATAATGAAGAAATTACCTCACTAAAAAATGAAGCCTGGGATAGTTTTTTCCGGTAGGCCCGAGGTGCCGACTTAACCGTTGGGGCCATTTATGCCGTCCTATGACAAAGAGGGGGCCAAACAGGCAAACTAACTGACCATGGGGCCCATTTATAACGCTCCATAATAAGCAGGGGGTCAAGCAGCCAACCTCGGGGTGGGGTCCATTTTGTAACGGTCCATAACAAGGATTGGGGCCGAATCATATCGTTCCTTCGCTAAGAAGTTTGCTCCATAATTGCCCCGCTGTGCTGGGGGGAAAGATCTACAAATGGCCACAGCATGCACGGAACACTGTACCGTCCGCATTCTTGTATATGCTTAAAATTTATTGATGCCTGGAACAGTCATTTTAGCACATTTTTGGACGTTCACAGCTCCACAGTATATCGAATCTGCCTTGCCTTCGTGGATGTCAGGCTTCACTTGGCGTTTCTTGTATGTAAATATGATAGTCATTTTATGATACAGTTAGTGTGCAGTTTGCGCGCTAGTAGGCATCTGTATTATGCCAGAAGTTACCGAACAGTACTTTCTATACATCAGCATTCTCATTTTATTATAAAGGCTGGCTTCTGGACCAGCTGGTTTCCTCTGAAATCCATCACTCGGACTACAACCAGATCATTACAATTGTTTTCTTATACACCGATCAGATTACCATAATGAGAATCCCAAAGAATAACAATGCACCCCAGCTACCAACAGTTGAAAGCTGGAACGGGACAACTGTGAAGGCTAAGGATCCTTATGCATTGATGCGTGATTGTAACGCAAACACTCGGTTAGTCTAGAGAAGACATTGTCAGTAGGAGTTTTCCTAATAGTAAACTAGACTTACCGCACAGCATTACCTTTGGAAAGAGTTACTTGGGTTCCTGGTTCATCCCGATATTGATACTCGGGCTGCGGACTTGAAAGTCGCTGATATTGCTACTGGCAACGGGTAAATTGATCTACCAAGCTTCGAAGTTCTCATAACTAATTGTTCCAGTATTTGGCTTCAGGATTTTGCTCGTGGAAAACCACCGTCCGTTGATCTCCATGGCTTCGATATTAGCCTGGACCAAGTTGGCCCGAAGCCATGGCTACCCGCAAATATACACATGCATGTCTGGAACATTTTTGAAGAAGTGCCGGATGAGTTCATAGGCTACTTTGATGTTGTGCATGTTCGTCTGATTACTGTCGTTGTCAAGAATAACGACCCCAGGCCGATTCTAGCAAACTTGAAGAAACTGCTGAGTATGCGCTTCAATTCCATTTTCATGGCAAGGCTGACAATCCATGGGTTCAGAACCCGGCGGCTACCTTCAGTGGGATGAAGTTGACACCATTGGGTGCTCTATCAAAACCGTGCCTGGGACTTCAGCATCTAATCTTGATGCACTCTTCTCTCAGCTTAAAGGACATGACACGTAAGTGTACCCAAAAAAAAGATAGTTGGAAGATCTGATGCGAACTAATCTCTTGAGCAGCTGGAAATATGACCTGACGCGAATTATGGATGAAAACGGATATACTGGCTCAATGCTGTATACTTATGAGTACGGACTTGGAAATGCTCGGTTCTGGAATGACGTGTAAGCTATGACCGAGAACAGAACTAGGTCTTCTATGGGAATACCTAACATTCATACAGATATGTGAGCACATGGAAAGAGTTTGCAGAAAACGCACTTAAGACCCCGGAGGCATCGAAAAGTCTGGAGCACAACGCTATGATGGAGACCTTGAATGGCGCTTCCATCATGGTCCCAAAGCTGGTCTGGGTGACGAAGAAGGTTGATACCGTAGAGCACTAGGTGGTTTTGATGAGCGGAATGTCTATACCCGTTATAGGAATTGTGTACCCTAGGATGCTAGAATATTACATTACCAATTCTCTCGCCTGCTATGGCACACTTACTTGTCTTTTTTTTAATCGCTTAATAGCATGTATTCAAGGCTGGAGGCTTGCTCTAAAGGGGTTCATGCCTATATACTACGAAGCGGGGTTCCGAATGTCTCAGGACCATCGCCTTATTCACACCAGTTTTCATTCTCTTTGCATGTGGTTATCTAAGTACCATCATGAGATAAGTTTCCTTTAGAACAGTTGCATTCAGAATACATAATGTAACTGGACCGTCGTCCAAAAATCCTAGTATCTAATGTTTGAGACTGACTCATCAAGTACGTCTACTTTCCATATGAAACAATATATATGACGGGTATTCGGGATTGAGCGATGTATAACATTATAATTCAAGAAATGTAATTCGTAACATTTGGAGTCTGAGATTTTAGCCTTGGAAACAGGGCAACTACTGTCTGAATAGAGATGGGCGAAAAATATATCAATGGTCTATATATATTCAGACATCATGTATCAATAGCTTAAATCTTCAGCGAGCTAGCACTGTTAGAATTTCCGGTAACTGAGTGTCCCGAGACATTTGACCTTATACCGCAATGTCACTACTGTCGCCACCATCGCTATTCTTGCCTATAGACTTTTTGGGGTTGACCAGTCTGTCTTGCATTGCGATAATGTCAGTGGCTAATCATAGATAAATCAAGCCAAATCGAATGGTGTGTATTGGGAGTTCTACACCATACATTGGACTCTGTATTGATCTATCTATTTTGCAATAAATCCATCGATAAACTTGGTAATTTGCTCTGCCAGCGCCTGAGGTTGGCTCACAAATGGCATGTGGCCGGCCTTGAAATCCACAACTTCCCATTCAACCTTGGACTTCTCCAGCCATATGTCCTGCAAAAATGCAGGGTTGCAACAGTCATCCAGGGTACGTACATACGCCCTTCTACCATCAAACGCACTCTCCGCCCAGGCTGGGGCGGTGGGGGGAGTTTCAAAAGCGCGGAGTGCATGTGGCTGCATTAGCGTATCTAATTCCGGCTCCAGGACACGGTCGCAGTCATTGTACAGCACGTCCATTGCCGGTTCGATGACAGCAAGGCCCTGGGATGGCTAGGAACAAAATCATCAATACTCGATCGTTATGACAGCATTTATGCAGGTTATACCATACCTTATCGACTTTGATGAAAGGAGGGTAAGCGCCGCCTACCGCCTGGAAGAGGGATTCCCCCTCAAGCGTGATATTGCCCACCACGTAAATAAGGCCAACAACGCCAGTCGATTGACCTTGGGCTGCTCTGGTTTCCTTTGCAAGTTCTTTTGCTGCGCCACCGGCAACAACACCCCCGTATGAGTGTGCGATGATGACAACATCTTTTCCATTCTCATTCAAAAGGGGGAGGAGTACATTGTTACGCAGGTGCGCGATATCCTGGGAAGAGGACACTTGGGTTGGATCGGAGGGGTTGCAACTGGGGTATGACCCTGGATGTGTGGTGTATCCAGCTTCGGTCAGATACGGTAGCAGTTTATCGAAACCTTCAGGTGTGCCAAATGCACCTGGGACAATGACAATGATCGGGAGGTTTGCCGACGACATTTTGGGTGGGATTCCGGGTTGGGAAGAGGTTGCGACTTCGTTATGTCGAGTATTATGGAAGGGAAGAGAAGAAATTAAAAAGGGAAGCCCGGACTGCTGCCAGGTGTAGTAAGGTAAAGAAGGTGGAGTAGCAGATTCGGAGGTATGTATTTGTCATGGGTTGAGTAATTAACTTCGCCAAATGTATGAAATCCCTCCCTGCCCTCTGGAATCAGCCGCACGTCAGGTTGCAACCGCCAACTACGAGAGTAAGCCTAGTTAGACTAGGCTGAGCACGCTCGTCCAACGGAGGAGGTGCTGTACCCCACCCGCAAATTGAGACAGGCGCATATCCACGTAGTACTAAAGTAGGTACGAAATAGTCAATACATGTAAGAAATAATCCGTGTATTAGTCTAGCAGTTAGCACTTGTACCTGCTGGTGGGGCCTAAGTGGTAGTTGCATACACTATGCTGATCTCAGTAGGTCAGAAGAGCCCCTCGCCTCGCCTCACACTGACAGGGGTGGAGCCAACAAGGTTAACTCCGGTGTCCACGGCAGAACGTGGGGGCGAATGGATTTAGTCTGCTGATTGACGCTGGGAAATTGATCCAACGCGAGAAAAAATAAAAAATAAAAAATGTAATAAAATGCACGATAAGAAATGGGGTCTCGGTTGGTTTATTTCTATTGGGTGGGGATCAATCACTAGAAAAGTACTTAGACCTCGGAACTGTGGAATATAGTGGTTCGATCTACAGGCAGCGGAAGGAAAGAATAACACGTCTCGAAATAGGAGACACTGGTTGTGGGAGAAAAGAGTGGAGCTGCAGTTTGCTGCACGCTAGTAGCAGATGATTCTTGGCTGTTTTGGGGGCGGAAATACCTTGTAAAACGTTGGAATTCTGCTCGCAGATCGGGAAGGCTTTTCGCTGATCATGCTATACTGAATCCTGGCCAGATGGTGGGGATCTTTGCCGTTGAAGCGGGCCGAAACCTTGTAAAGCGCCTTGGATAGGAGACAATGTACCGAACTTTTGGCCCCAGGTTGCAGCGCTTACACGCACCACCCTGTCTGTCTCTTTGACATATTTACTAGTACTATGAGGCCGTCAAGATTGCGGATATACTCCGTATACTAAAAGGCCCGTAGACCCACTGCAGAGAGGACCAAAGTAGACGCAAGTACATCGGCGATCCAAAGCCAGCAATTATCCCGTGCACGCAGAGCCAGTCAATAATATTCTTTATTTCTCCTGGATGGAGAATTGGCTAGGGGCTGAACCAGACGAACAAGGAGAAAAGGCCCAACGGTACGTAGGATCAGGCAGGGAGGCAGAAAGCAGCAGCTGCACACAGCCCACGGATCGTCCACGCATCCACCCTTCCCCACTCTGCAATGTCTTTCTGCAGGACGTGCATTGCTTAATGGTTAGATGGCAGGCAGGCGTAATGGTACATAGTGGTAATGTCCGGGGAGTCGGTCTCCCGGGGAAAAGCTTACCAATGAGCAGTGGCTGGGCCTGTCTAATTAGTGAATCTGTGAAGGGTTAACCACAGACCGGTGCCAGCCGAGGTTCGATGAGGCAAACCACCACGGATCCTTACTACTATATTTCGACTCGCTATCATCGGCTGTTGGTTTTAAAAAGTACCTTTCCAATACTTTGGCCCCAGCCCTAGTTGCAACATGTGAAGGGGCGGAAACGGCAAGCAGTGGCCCACCTGTCTCTTCACTGAACTTTATATTATATTGTCCGGGTACTCAGTACACGTAGTAAAGGATTCTTCTCACTGTATGCACTGTCTACACTTTCGTCTCCACGGGGAGGGTTTGAGTTCTTGCAGGAATACCTGTGTGCACATAACAAACTCACACCCCTTGTATTTATCATGTCTCAATCTCTGCCCTCTGCAGACCTTTCCGAATCCCGGCAACCTAATTTATATGCCTCTTCGACAATACCTTTCTTCATCGCCGTTGTCTGTGTCAGCCTTCGATTCTGGTGTCGCTGGAAGAATACTGCGGGCTTATGGCTTGACGACTGGCTGATACTAGCCTCATTGGTACGTACTGTACACCCCTGCTGCCGATAGGGTGTCTCTAATATAGTTGATTAGGCTTGCGGCACCGGCCTCACAGCTTCATTACTGTGGTGTAAGACATAGTCCGATTGGTTTCATGGAGGTGTTAGGTGTTAACAGATGTAGGGATACCTCGTGCTCTGGGAAGGCATATTCAAACCTTCGGACCAAACGCTACGGAGGACGCATATATTGGACTATTCTCCTGCGAACTCACTTACACGGGCGTCATTGTTCTTGTCAAGTTTTCTATCCTGGCCTTGTACTGGCGTCTATTCAACAGGGCCAATATAAAACTTCCCATTAGCCTACTCGCCACACTGGTCTGCATGTGGGGTATTGCTGTGGTAAGTATTGTAACTCTGCCCCTGAGGAGCCCATTATGACTCACAATTACAGTTTTTGCTCACCTTGCTGCAATGTATACCTACTCGAGGATTATGGGACCAATCAATTGATGCCTCCTGTAATGTTGACAGCCAAAAGTTCCTGTTTGCGATCTCAATTCCAAACATTATAATCGATGTTACGCTTCTCGTACTTCCTGTGCCTTACATCATGAAGCTCAACACCTCGAGAAGCCATAAGAAGGCTATCATGTCAATGTTTCTTTTGGGCAGTTTGTATGTGGACCTCACATTCTGAATGTTGCCAATAATCAGCTGACCGGACAGTGTGTGCATCGCCTCGATAATGCGACTTGTTTCAGTGATGACCCAAGGTACTGATGCGGACGTCAGTTGGAACTGGGTCAATCAAGCCATATGGGCCAATATCGAAGCTGACCTGGCAATTGTCTCGGGTAAGTAATATGATCCCTTTATTGAGCTTGATGACTCCAGATATTGACTGCATCAAAGCTTGCCTCCCAACTTTGCGTCCTGTATGGGTCGCAGTTCGACGAAGCCTCTTTGGTACCCAAGCTACCAACCAATCGACTGACCCGTCCTCTTGGGCTACGCCACAAAAACGTGTTCAAGCTTCTTCGTGGGCCACAAAGATACTGAAATCGAGCTCCTACGACAATGAAGACACACAGCCCTTTTCAGCTCTGGATAGTCATACGGAGGAAGGACCACACCGTTACTCGGCATTGGATCAATCGCAGGCTAAAACGACGGTCGCAATTCCATTGCCAACTCTCAATAAGGGACAGCCTCATGAGGAGGGTATCACGGTGAAGAGGGCTTGGGATGTTGAGTACAATCAATAATACCACTAAAATGAAATGTAAAATCACTGACCTAAAATGTGGGACTAAAAGGAGCATAAAAACCTCGGGTGAAGCCCGTAAGCAATCTGTATGTTATGTATTTGAATACTCACGTAAGCCCGGCAGAACACGGAAATCATTGTTTAAGCATAAAACGAGCGGCCAGTGGTATTTTCAAGTTACAAATTCTGGCAATCATGCACTCGAGTTGGCTCATGAGATTACCCAGACTGCTAGAGGTGTGTCAAAACACAAGGCTCTATCCGCCCACATCCACCTCTAGAACGTTGGGTCCAGCCATGGAACATGGGCGAAAGGCCAATTACTCGACCGGATCGTGATCAAGCGGAAGCAGGAATGCATTTCATCTCTACTCGCACGCAACGCCGCTTCCCATAAGCAGATGTGTACAGCATAGCTACTATTCAGGGAAGAGCAGTGCCAAAATACCATGACCTTGTTTAGTTCCCTGCTTCGCCCCCAAACCTATCTTAGTAGCCTAGGATATGGTATCGCAGGGGTCGCAGGTCACGGGATCTATCGGGTAGCCCAATCGGCTAACTAAGAACTCGGATATTACATAATATACCGTTGAGGAAAAATGGCAAGTAGTGTCAGTTGCAGCCACCCTTAGTAGAGGAGCCGGACTCGTCCGGGTTACCACCGCTGGGTAGGAAAACGCAGCGTAGATGAGTAACAAGAACCTCAGCTATCTATACGTAAGCCCTTCATTTTTTAGTAATTTCATTCCTCTTGATTGGGACGAGGCCGGTTATGTCCAACAAGGTGAACTACTGCAGACCGGCTGCATAGTGGTGTCTGTAGTATTTGCAGCAAGGACTATTTCAGGAAGGACTTTGCGGCGCATGTATCTACAAACGTAGTCAAGCTACCTCCTTCTGGATGTTTCCTGGGTAATCTGTAGGTAGCTGCGGGTGATGATGGACTTTTGCCTTTGTTGGTATTTCATTCACCGGAGCTGCCTATATATATATATATGTACATAGTGCATTCATGTTGGAGATATACGATGAAGGAACACGACATCTACACCAATCTACGGAACAGAGAGCATCAAAGTTCAAAGTGGGACGTGCCGTGGACCACAATTCTTAGATATTCAATTATAGCAAGGCTGACGTGCTTTATGGGTGCGCATAGAGATTGTGACGCTTTTAATATGGTAACAACCACTGAGCTTAATAATATCAAAAGTGTAAAGTTCATCGTGTTTGGACACTACAGCGATTCATACTTCATCCTGATCAGCTGTATAGCTGGCCCCTGGGAGTTGATGGCCTTTCTCCGTCAGGCAGGCATTGGGTGTGAGGCAGGGGTTGAGTGTGCACTGGTAAATGATCACTCTTTAAGTTCGCCCTGCTGGCGCTACTAACTGGTTTTCCCAGAATGGTGCCCTCAAGAGACCACATTACCCAGGACTTCATGGTAATGAACTCTGGATAGAGAAGTTTGTAAGGCATGCCCAGTTCACACAGACTATGGAGTCCGCACCAGTCATAGAAACTACCTAGGACTTCAAGGAACCTCTGTACTAGACTCCGGTCTCGCGAGAAGATATACCTCCGGGAAATCCTCCGGCATACGTACAACGCTTCTGCGGACCTCGTAGATCTGCAATAACAAGCACTGATTCATCAGTATTTAACTTCATTAGATAACACCAGGCCCCATGGGTAGGCAACCCCGCCGGACCAAGCTATCAAAGAAAAACCCCCGTTCAAAGGTGTCAGCACGTTGACAATCTTAGTAGGATAAGTCTTGCATAGCAGTCCATTGTCACCCTATTCTAGATAACCCCAACTGTACTGATTAGCTTAATAATATGGACTATCTTTAAGAGAAAGTAAACCTTTCACTGTTATTCCCCTGAGAGAGATACTATGACCAAAAGGAAACTGACGCCATCTACTGCGAACACATTTGACATTGGATAAACGATCACGTCATGTTTCTAGTTCGTCATCTCTAGTGCCCTGAATGTTGGCTTCAGTCAACCGGCTATAGCATGGCAGATCAGAACCAGCATTGTGAGGCTCACTTGCGTACTGTCGTCGGAAATTATTAACGTCAATCAATAACAAAAATATGCGTGGACGAAAGCACAAGGCTCACATGTTACCGTTGTTGACTGATGACCTCTCCCCGACCTTTCTAACGGCAAAGCTGCTTCAACTTGTCAATCTGAGCCATCCCACCCTTGACCTCGTCTCCCAGCTTTGCAATATCCCCGGCATCCATAGCCCTTCTCGCTTTGGCAGCCTTCGCAAAAAGTGCCGGTGCCTCGAGCATATCTAGTATGCCCAGGCCACCTAAAAGAGCCAGGAATATTTCCCCAGCTCCCGCATCCTTCGCACTCACGACGCTATAAATACCGAATCCGGCGTCACCGGCTGCACCGATGGCTCGTAGCGTAACTGCGACCGAGGTCAATTCAACAGAGTCGGCGAGCTCTCCGATGCCGGGAATGAGGAGGAGGAAAGCAGTAACGAAGAGAAGAATAGCTTCTTCGACCTGTTCCTTGTGATATTCCTCGCCGATGCTTTCGACGCTCTTCATGCTTGCGATAGAGTTCGAGACCATGAGGACGAGGAGGGATGCGCCGTCCACGACATCAATGGTGTCGCCGAGGTACAGGTCGCTGTCTGCCAGTGTGGCAATGGTGGTAGATTGTTCCTCGAACGTCGTGATATTGGGGAGCCGAGCCGAGATGATGTCCTTGGGATTACTGACGGTGAAATCTGGCGGGAGGGTCGGCATGCCAATGTTCCTGCTGCCGCTGCATATCATCGGCTGTGAAGGGTCTGGACTACTGACGCATTGCGATGCATCAATCTCCCACACGAGCTGGTCTGGTGAAATTCCTGTGGTGTCTTCAAGGTCCTCCAGAAACCCATCCTTGTCTGTCGCTGTCCAATAGAAGATAGCGTAACCTGTATCCTTTGGATTGGATGGGCACGAAGAGCTCACATTCTTGCCTTCCGGCTCTTCGCTCCGCGGGACCATACCCTGAGAGGTACATTCGAAGTAATTCGAGGCATTGGCCTTCAAGAACGCCTGAAGAGACCGCGGGAACTGCTCCCTGACCGCATCCTGATACCAGCCGAATTTCTTGTCGTAGTCCGTTTTCATGACGTCGTGGTACGCCGAGACTGACGAGGAGAGATTGCTCTTCAACGCTTGGATCAGATACAAATTCATGCATTCCGGATCGATTGAATCGGCAGAGGCTTCGACATCGTCCAGACTGGTGAAGGCTTGATCGCAGTTGGGCAGGGTCAGTGGAGGCAGCACTGTGCCGTCTGGGAGCTCAGCGACGAATTCAGTCAGGTCAATCGCCCAGAGACTTGTTCCAAGGACGGTTCTGTTGTACCACCATTCGGTAATCCTGTTGTTTCTTTCGTTGTCGTCCGTGTAGGCCACCCATGTGCCGTTTGCCGAGTAGGAGATCGTGGATCGGCTAACGTGGTCGAAGTACGTGGTGATATTCTGATCACCTTGCAGCCAGTCGTTGATCTCTGCGTTTGCAATGTAACCCGGGGTCTGCGTGCATTCTCCAGGCATAGCCGCTGACTCTGGCCCCTTGAACTTGCACTCCGGTCCATAGCAGGATGGGTCAACCATTCCAAAGGACCGGCCGTAGCTCGCCAGACCTGCGACGATCTTGCTGTTGGGCACCCCGGCCTTGGTGATCATCGATAAAGAGTTGACAATCTCCGTGTAGTTGACGTGTGACCGGAGACAGCCACCGCCATCACAACCATCAACCGACCAAGCATTGTCCCAGTCCCACTGGCCGTGCAGGTCGTAGGTCATGTACACGATGTAGTCAACTACGCACGAGATATTCGCAATCGGGAAACCTTTGAGGTACCAGTAAGAGGCAGGAGCTGCGATGGAGAGTGTCTTCTCAGAGGAGAGTTTATCCCGAACCTCTTTCAAAAATTGAAGGTATCGATCACCATCACCGGGATCGCCTGCGGGAATGCCAGGGATATCAGGGGCCCCTGGATACTCCCAATCAAAGTCCAGTCCGTCGAGGTCATTATCATCAGCGAACTTTGCGACATTTGATGCAAACAATGAACGCTGTTCATCGGTGACACCCTTACGGAAAATGGCGTAGGAGTCCAAATCCGTGGAAAATGACCATCCACCAAAACGACAACACCTTTGGCTTTTTGCCTGCGGATTTAAACTTTCTGAACTGTTCGAACTCATCTTGAACGCTGGAAACGTCCACCTCGAATGATTCAGTGATGTTGGCGAACGCAAAATGGATATGATCCCAAGCTTGCGAAAATGTTGATGAATGGCTTCCTTGTTGACCCCCCAATTGAACTGTGTTATTGATAGCTGTCACATCCAGGTTCAAGCATGGTCGGCTGTTCTGAAACGCTTCATAGTAACCAACTAGCACAGGATGGTCATCGAAGCCATTCCCGTCAAAAACGATGTCAGTACCGCAGTTTGAAATACACCCATTGGTGCCGTCCTTTGCCGTTCCAGGTGCGTCAGTAGTAGACTGCTCGACTTGTCATTATGGCTCAACGAAGACAGTAAACATGAAGCAAAGTGAGACACGTACGCTTGTTTTTGTGCAAAACTCCGCAGTAGTACCGCATTGTCTATCAAAAAACACCGGTGTCAGATGAATTGATGAAAAGGAAGGCACAAGTACTTACCCCCAAATATCACAGCACGCATTGAGAGGGCAAGGATTCAGGCTTTCGATATCATCCCAATTATCCGGTCTCTTAGTCCCAGGTTTCTGTGGACCGCATACGGCGTTCTTCAGAGTGGATGGCATTGGTGGGTCTCCCTTGCTGACACAAATATTTGCTGTTTCAGAAGGATATTTGAGTCCACTGATCGGTTCCACAAACGCAGGCTGGGCTTGTTATGCTTACCTCCAGCTTGAATGTTATCACATCCCGTCCACCCCCACGACTTCTTATTCCACTCCTCGATATCATCAACCGTGATACTCTTAGCAGCGGCGATCTTACTTCACCCGTCGTTGTTCTGGACGTTATACGTTGCGCATGTCCCATCTGCATTCGGCTGGGGAGAATAGTCCGGAAGCGTACCGGCAGAGCAGCAAACATGCTGCCCAGCAAGCAAGGAAGAGCACAACGTGCTGCTCGGGTTGTATTTGGTGAAGTCGGCAGGAGATATCCCGCATCGGCGTGCCAACTTGCTGCAACTGTCGCCGTCGTTGACTTGGATGGCGGTACATGTTGCTCGGCGGTGCTTTTCATGAAGCAGCCCCTTTCCATGCGAATGCTTATGGGCGCGCCGATGTACGCTGGTTCCGTTACCACTGGGAATAGGACCGTCGTTATGGTTCTCATCCACGACCTCACCCATTGAGATCGTGGAGGTTGAACTCCCGCTGTATCCAGAAGCACATTTCCCTGTATCCCAAGTTGCAAGGGCCTCTCGGACGGCGCTCAGCGCTTGCGAAGGATCTGGGTTTGCTTCAGCGACAACACCAAGCGTGTAAGCTGCGGCACGGTTACTGTCGCAGACCTGCATCATGACGCCGGACTTGTTTAGTTCTCCCTGTTGGATCTTGTTCAGGAAGAGTCCTAAAATGCCACTGTCCTTGTCGCTACTTTTCTGCATGTGGGAGCCGACGAACGCTCCAAGGGCGATACCGTTCGAGTATGCCATAGCAATTGTGGCATTTTCGCTCGGCGGGGCGTTTAAATGCGACTGCACAAGTTGAGCTGCGACCCCCGCGTGGGATGTATACCGACTTGTTTCCTCTCCCCGCCACGCGGTCTCTATCTGAACATCTTTGGTCGAGTAGCGCGAGGACCCTGCTTGTGGTGTACTCGCAGTTTTGGCCTTCGAGGTAGTACTGTGGTACCCGTCGTTTGTTGTCGAACAGGCATACAGCGGCTGACGGGCATTAAGATTCGTCGTGCTATTTGAAAAGCCAACCACCAGGTTGAGGAGCATTGGTTCTTTGCATGACTTAAGGATTCGAAGGTTGGAGTAAAAGTCCCAGTCATTGGGGTTGGCACTGTCGCATATTGACGGACAGGCGTTCCATTGGGTGGCAATGTAGGGGTCTGTCACGCGAACATTGGAATTGAAAGAAGCTGCTGCGGCCAGTGCGGCAACTTGAATCAAGATGCAGAGATATGATAACAGGGCCATGTTGCTTCCCAAGAGAATTCAGTACATGCCATGCGGCTATAATGTCTCGGATTCAGGGAAGCAGGGTGGGAAACCAAGAAATAGGATAATCTCGGAGAGAAGCTGAGGATTGGAAGGCTGAGTGATTGCAGAGGGCCTATAAGCATTCGTTTCTGAGAGGAAACAGCCTTGCGATATTTACGACGTGTGGAGAGGAAGCCAGGGTTCTAGTCCTGCCATGACCTCTGTCATGAGAGCGTTTACCAGATAATTACTAGTCACGAACTAGATGCTAGATACTAGGACGGACCTCCGCGAAGCTAAACGATGCACCATAGATTCGGACACGGGACATGTCTTACTACGTCGTGGTAGTTGAGATACTGGTTGACTCTCGTCTCAAGTGACCTTGTATGATACTGCTTGCCCACTAGTAAGCCGACGTCTGGCCCTGTTCTGAAAATTGGACCCTACTAGATCCCTGCCTAAGCTCGTCGGAAATGAAGTTCTTGGCAGTGTCCGGCGGGCGTCGCCAATCGTTCCGCGGTTCGGCTGCCTGCTCCACCACCGCTAACTCACAAAGTACGGGTGATGGTCCCTTGGCGATGGCTTACCAGGGCATGGGCTGATTTTCTAGCGGCGGCCCCTGCGTAGAAATGCTTACCTCAATGGGCAACGGATCACGGTGGGTACCAGAGACAGGAGCAGGAAGAGGACTTATGAACCTCATTCCAACCGAGCCTTCGCCAAAGGAACATGTGAGATGCGTATGTACTTTACAGGGTACCCCTGGGGACTTGGAACTACTCTATGCACATTCCAAATCCGGATAAAGCAGATGGAGTGACTCTGAGACATTCCTTCCGTCTCTGTCCCTCACTAGCACTAGTTAGTAGCATCTAGTTCGTAGTATCTGGTATTCCCTCCCATGAGAAAGCTCATGGGAGGACTAGTTATCGCACCCCTTCCTCGCTAGTTGATGCCGCAGGCACTTGCTCAGATGGGATAGTCTGGGGATGATTAGGGGAGTATCAGCTCGGACAAGGCCTTCCGTACTCTTTCTCCCCTGCGAAGGGTATTGTCTCTTCGTTTTAAGAGAGGGAACTCGGTTCTATTCTTGACAATCGTTTTTTCTTTCCTTCGCAGGGCCCTCCGCACTTTCTTACCATCACCATGAAGTTGCCTCTTTGTTTGATTCTCACTGTCTGTGTGTCGAAAGCAGTCGCTTTCGGTCTCTATGGCTGCTACGAGCGACTCCTGTACTGGCAGGCTTACCAGATGGACAGCGGATATAAAAAGCACAAGATCGCTCCAGCCTGCTCGCGAGATGCGGACACTGCAAAGAACGTCGGTCCAATCACTGGAGGCCGCTGCAACCTCCGTCAATTTCTCTATTACATCACATTGGACGAGGGCGAGAGGAGTGTCATCGCAGACAAGAACAAGCTCAAGGATGCGGACCTGGCCAAGGACCAGACCGCTATCGATGAGCTTGCTAAGAAAATGGATGATGTTGACATTGGAAAGGCTTACAAGCCGAGCCGCATCTATCAGGGTTTGCATGTGAACTCCAGGGTCGATGAGGTTATAAGCAATGTTGCTGCGTGAGTGCCTTGTAACTGTGCATGCATTCCCTATGGTGAATGTCCATGTCAATTAGAACGCTATAAGACTGACTGCAGTTGTGACAGGTTCATTGAGCAGAAGGGCTGGTTGGAAGAAGGTAACGGCAAGCCCAGCCAAACGTTGTTCGATTTGGCCGAAAAGGCCCGAAGCCGAGTTGAATTCGGGCGCAAGGCCATGGCCGCCCGGGATATCGGAGCCGAGGTCCGCAAGCAATACGATCGAGAGGTTTGGGATAAGCAGCCCAAGAATAAAAACGGCGAGATTACAAAGGACGCCCCTCTGGTTGAGGAAGGACTCGTCAAGGAGAGCCTGGCAGTTCCGGAGGGAGGAGTCGGGGGATGGCGTACCTGCGACTTGGAAGTTGCACAGAACTCGATCAACGCCGCAGAGGCTGCGGCGGGCAGGGGCCCAGTAAACTTGAAGAAGGATTTCGTTCGCCCTTGGCGAGACAGGGAGGCCACCCACATGCTAAATATCAAAGCAGCGAGTGAGGCAAAGGCGAAAATCACCAGTTGTTCAGGCTGAGATGGGGGAGACTTGTACAACTAGTTTCTAGCAAAAAGGCTGCGGAAGCCGCCCCGCAGCTTCGCACCCCCACAACACATACAGATTGGTATATGTCAGAACAAATAAAACCTGAGCAATACTACTAACCACTGGAGAGATTTACCTTCTTGGTCTAGGTAAATGTATCAACAGTATATGTTTCAAGATGACCGGTATGGGAGTGTATACAATCTATCTGACCTCAAGATAATGGTTGTCGGTGGCCAGGGAGCACGTAGTGGCGAAGGGTCAGATGATGCCTGGCTAGAGTGATTGTCTCAACAGTATATAGTTACACAGTCACCAGGGCCTAAAGTGCTGGAACACATGATAATAACGTATATTAGCAGCTACTCCATATACTGTATCCACAGGCGTTTTGACATCTTCATTAAGCTCTGTATAACAGATTCATTTCTTCCCGTAATGCCTCCACCCGGTTAGACATACTCATAAATCTAACATCTTATATGCTTTTTTAGATAGATAGACGTTACCAAACATAGGATTGGCGTCGTGGATATGATATATATGGAAATGTCTAGCAGCCCAGTTGGATCAAATTTACCGAATTAATGTCATAATTCAATGAAGACTTGGGAACCGTATGAGCTCCCAGCCTGAGAATATTATTATCAGTCAATCCTAATCGCTAAATCTTAGCTAAAACAAGATAGTATGGATATAGATATAATAAAAAATTGAACTATTCACCTTTCCAGATTCTTGGAGTTTCTAGTAGGGGAATGCTACCACCACATTAGCTAGGCTGTTTTGATACCAGCTTTCACCCATGCCATATCCTTTCCTCAGAACCTACTCCTGGTGTAATCCAAAAGTGCCCTCGAGCCTCGGAGCACATATTACATATGTATCTACTTCACTCGGCGAATATGAGATTGGTTGGATCCCCGCACCTTGCCGCCTCCTGTAGAAGGTAAGATATAATTTCAGTACAGGTAGAACTTCTACCACCTACTATTTTACCTCAATTCTTACCTGATAATTCATGAATATAGTCCCCGGTATAAACGAATACACAATGGCAGGCAGTAGTAATTCTACATATAATGAAAATAAATTTTATCATTTAGTATACGTAGAGGAGTTGATACATTGGGGTAAACACCAGACCTCCAGGCCATTGACAATATAGAAAAGTAGGTGGCAGACCAATATCAGTGTGGCAATCAATCGGAGACGTGTGAAAGAGTCCAAGGTGATCGTTACATCCTTGGGACTTGTATCCCTCGCCTTGTGTGAGATCCAGACGTTCAGAATTTAATTGGATCGGCGTGCTTTGTCGGAGTATGATGAAACATCTGTCACCCGTTTCTCGGTAACTATCCAGCAAAATGTTTTTTTTTTTCTCACTTACTTGGCAGCACGCTGTTTCGACTGGGGGAATTAGAATGGAGACCGTGGCAGGTGCCAAACCAATCCTTCGCCCAGTGGTCTTCACTAGTGAATCCCATATGAACATACCATCGTGTACTGGATGAGGCAAGCTGTGGGCAGTTGATGTCGATGGATACGGAAGCGAAAAAGGTTCTCGGCTGTTTTTCTGAAGCCCGACCGGAATGCGACCGTTGATGGCCTTCATGTGGAAGGTGTGGCGCCGATAGGGGGCATACCCTAATCGCCACACCGGAGGTACTGTGCGTAGTCCCAAGTCACAAGAGTCTCTGATGAAGGTGACACATTAGAAAGCCAGAATGCACCTCTCCAGGACTATGGATGACAGCCAGTAGTTGGAGGCGCACGGGACGGGATTCAATGCAGGCAATCTAGTTGAGGCGGAAGCAGATCTCAACAGCCTTGATCGAGGGCGTCACCGTGAGAATTTTCTTACAGTTCAGACCTAGGAAGATGATAATAGGCCGACCATCTTGGCGGTTGAGCTGGTCGTTAAAGTCTCTCGAAGGCCCCGTTGTCTGTACTAAATGCCGCAACACCACCCCCCTGCATCTCATTAGCCTGAACCCTCAAGTGGCACTGCTTTGTAATGGCCTTGATTCTGACTTGAATTTTGGACCAACTAAGTGCCACACCATTTGTTCTGTTGGTCTAGACTCCATGAACATCTTTGGATCGTGGTGGAACAAATGCCCATGTGTTTGACAGTCGGCACCTGACGGCAGTGTGAGTTCGTCTTGTACAGCACCTGCCGGACCTTTTCTCATTTCCCCGGGGTTTCCCCATTGCGTAGAGTCGATAGAAGATATCATCTTGAATAACCTCGTCTCTACACTGCAGAGGAGAACATTATATCCATTCTGAGCCAACTTTCTTCTGTGGTTCAAGTGGCGGCGGTTGACGGACTGACTACTAGGTGAGTTACTCGAGATGGGGATCGTGTCAAGCTCCGCTCGGCCGCATGCAGGTCTTTGATTAAGATTTTCATGGACCAAGACGCCGTTCATCCTTGGTGTTGGTAGTGAGTTTCATTGCCTGGTGCGTTGAACGTGTGGAGAACACAGATCCTAGGTCAGTGCCTTGCCGGTTGTGTTCTCTCGTCGAGTGCTTGAACAGGAAAAGGGAGACCATGCAGTGGAGAAAGACCCCTTAAACTTACATACTCCGATAGTTACTCCGTAGTTCTCTGATATCTTGTTCGATCAGCAAATCTTTAGTTTGTTGGTCCTGCCGGGGGTTTACGGGGACTAGCCCCGGCCCCACTTGCACTTGATACGATCAGCCCGTACCGTTCGCGGTAATCGGTGGTTTTATTTACAGGGTGGGAAATGCCCGCCACTTGCCAGTCCAACAAGCTTCTTGCCCTTTTGCCCAAACAGCTCCTTATTCCCCGTAGCTAATTATCATTTCATCACCATGGATATGCTACTCGACCTATCTTCGGATGAGGAAGAAGAACGACTTGGAGTCGGGAAATACAACGAAGAAGATTGCAAGGCTGCCATTCAGGGGATCCGAATCCCAAAGACATTCGACGAAGAGGTTCATCGACTGTGCACCATTCGCGGCATTCGCCATCACTATGGCTTCGCCCAGGAGCTCCGGGGAACCATGTCAGAATTCACACGCGCTTTGAACGCCCGCGATATCATGAGCGGTGTAATTCCGACCATGTCGTTGCCGGAGGAGGTGCCTTACTGCATTTGGTATCCAGATGTCCCGGCGGAGGAGACTCTGCGGGCTTTGGTGCAGCGATACCCGGACATGCTTTATCATGTCGCTCGGGCTTGTGCGATTGCAGGTTACGCTGATTTGTACATGGAGCTTGATCCGCTTCCAGAGGTGCATATTGCAGAGGAGGCTGGCTACACGAGCATGCAGAGGGCCAGCAGCGGCAGTCAACAGATCTATCAGCATATCATGTCTCAGCCGGTGAGGTTTGAGATCATGAACGACTATACACGGACGGTCAATATTGCGGCACCTCAAATCGCATCTTTGAATGGGGATACTGCTGTATACGCGAGTCTCACTGCCAGAACCAAGTATTATGGGCCGCGCAAATTTAAGAATGATCCCCCGCCATGGAATAAATATTGTCGCGACCCCCCTTATTTCAATATTACGGAAGACTGGGGCATTGACGACCATGACAGCAGGGCCCCGGATGCACCAGAGATTTATATCTCACTGCTACATAACCCTCTACCTACTAACCTCCCCTTCATCGACAAGGACAAGCTCATCCATGTTGCCGCATACAATGGAGACATCGATCGTTACGCCCGGCTTCGACGGCCTCGGATGCTCAAAGATGAATGGGCCATGGTTGTACACGGTATCTATCATCATCCGTTCTTTGCCAAATGGTGGAGTACCCAGATTCCGGAGCACCCGCAAGATAGAAATGAGATCAATATCAGGCGCGCGATCAACGCCCGCCGCATCATGTCCAATGATCTGTCGTGGCTCACTGCCGATACTCCCGGAAAGATGTTGCCAGAGCTCATTTGGTATCCGAATGTAGCCCACTTGACAACCTACGAAAGACTCGCTCACCGGAGACCAGACATGTTTGAAGAGTGTCTACGAGCGTGCATAGTTGCCGGGTATACGCATACGTGGGATGATTTGCTGCGCGCGGCACCTCAAATCTTCAAAGAAGAGTTCGCACAGGGTTCTCCCGAATCCGATGCCAACTTGGACGACCCCAAATTGCGGTGGCTGACCAAATATGCCAGCCACGCGCTGTGGATGGAAGCCAACGCCTCCCCGAACAAACACTTCCAAACCGACATTTCGAATGCCGTGCCTGACGCCGCTGTGAAATTGAAAAGGAGCCCTGACAGCGACTGGTGGGGGGACTACTACGTCGCCAAATCTCTTTATCACCCACAGAACTCGCCGACTATTTTTTTCCACGACCCTGTCCAACCAGGGGCGTGTGAAGGCCCATATGATGGAATGGATTGTGGTATTGGTGAAGGTATCGACCTTGCGTTGTTTCTCGGTGATGCCCTCTCGAAGGAGACGTGGAAGAGAGAAATCTTGGATGAGGGATCCACAACGGCCTGTCTGGAAGAAGTGTGGGACTTGTTAGACATGAACCAAAAATGAATTGTTACTATATCATTAGGCAGGCGCTCCAGCCTGGCTGCCTCCACACCGGCCTTTGCTCATGTTACCCCATACCGCCTCCTCTGGCAAATAAGTTTCGCTAATAATACTAGCAAAATTGCTATCCCATATCATCATTCTGCAACACATTAATGGAATGAATAAAGGCTGTGTAAAGAAATTTTACTAAGATGTCCTACTGTAAATTTTCAACATCAGATATCAGTTGTCAAAAACCAATCACCCACAATATTATATATAAAAGCTTAGGCTATACTCCGAATTTATATACCTCAGCTTAGATTATGTATAATAGATTGTGATACTAGTTCAGGGTTACAGCAATTCTTCCCAAGCGGCAAAAGCACAGTAACGCTATCAGGAGGCTGGCAGCCTCATGTAAGAAGGAATTAGAAAGGAGAATCATGCCTTCATGCCCGCATTGTATTGCGGGGATGCGCTCCATAGGTGAATGCGGACTATACAACGGGTTTACTCCGCGGCCCTCGGACTCTTCCTTCAGCTAACCCTATAACGGAACTCGCGATATGGAAGGGATCAAGGCGGTTTTCGTGAGGACACGGTGACAGATCCATTCAATAGTTGCAAACAGAAACAATTGGTCATCAGGCGTCTCGCTTATGTAGGGAATATTTGATAATGGCAGCAATGATACCCAAGAGTGTCAACAGCAAAGAGGTACCAACGTATGCCTTAGGGCGCGACGATGTGAGCATCCTCAATCATGGTTACTTGGGCTTCCTCCTTCCCCTTCACATCTCCAGGCAACACCATCACATCCCCGAATAGCTCGTCCATCTGCTCGAGGGTCTTACCCTTGGTCTCCGGGAAGAAAAAGATATAGCAGATCATGGCGATGAGGTTAAAGACGAAGAACACGTAAAAGTAACGGAACCCAATATTGGATAGCGCTGTAGGCGAGAATTGCGCGAACACCAGATTGACGGTCCAATTGGTGAAAGTGGTGATGGAATTGCCTTGGTTCCGAATATCCACGGGGAAGATCTCCGCCGGGTAGACCCAGGAGATGATCCCAGGCGAGGTATAGAACAAGCTGAAGACGAAGTTCATTGCGACCATTGCCCGTAGTTGGTTGGTGTTGTTCTCGTTATAGTGCTGCGACATGGCCGCATTGCACACCAGCGCCGCCGCCATGCCAGCTGCCGAGACGATCAGCGGTCGGATCCGACCCACGCGCTCCAGGGCCCAGAGTCCGATGGTGCAATAGACGATCGACAGGCCCCCGGAGATACCGATGATCATCAGCGTGGTGCGTGTCTCGATACCCAATGAGCTGTAGATGCGCGTTCCATAATAGTTGATGACGTTGATGCCCGACAACGGGCCAAAAGCCTGCACACCACAGCCGAGAATGAGACGACGACGCCACGAAGGTTTGGTAAGGATGGAGGACCAAGTAATGGTGTTGTTTGCGCGCTCCGCTTCAATGGTATCCCGGATCTCTTGATACTCCAGTTCGATGTACTGTGACTTCTCTGGGGTTCCATCACCGTGCAGGCGGTGCAGTGTTGCCAGCGCCTCTTCGTGGCGGTCTTGTTCCATCAGCCAGCGAGGCGATTCCTGGAGAAACCAAACACCGACCATAAGAACGAGGCCAGGAACACATTGAAACGCAAGTGGAAAGCGCCCTGTGAATGTAAGTCAGACACCTGGTACAAATGCGTCAGGGAAAAGCCAGGATCGGGTATGAGCGTACATTGGAAGTCGGTAGTGTTGAAGGAACATCCGTACCCCAACCACTGGGCAACCAAAGATCCCCAGCTTAACATCCACTGCAGCAGACCAGACATCATGCCGCGGGATGCGGCCTCAGCCATCTCACCGGCGTACATGGGCACGGTAGCGGTCAGCATGCCCACCGCCACACCTGCAATAAACCGACCGATGATGAGCATGGTCATGTTGACCGCTCCGCCCTGCAGCGCGCAGCCCACAATGGAGACGCAGGCACCGGCAAAGACGGACTTTTTGCGTCCCAGTCGATCACCGGTGAAGATGTTGATGATGGTTCCGAGAATGGCACCGCCTTGAAACGCAGATACCACACCCCCTGTCACCGTATCATTTGGGTTGTTAAAGTATCTGATGAACTCGGTTTGGCCGATTGTCGAGGTAATGATACCACTGTCATATCCGAAAAGGAAGCCTGTTTGTCGTACGGGTTAGAGTTATCGATAAAAATATATTCACTCTCCTTTCAAGGAGAAAATAGGAGAAAAGGATGTCTACCTCCAATGGCCAAGAAGACGGCGGAGAGCAACGTTGATAGCTTGGCCATGATGGTCGTTTGGTCGGAGAACTGCTTTTCAAGTTGCCAAAAACCATACGGGTAGGGCCGGTAGCGCCGTCCAACTATATACCAACAGCCAGACTATTCCCTCGCACATAGTGGCGTTTGACCTGATTAGTATGTCCGATTAACCCAAGGACGAAGCCGGGGTTGGGGTATAGGCAATATGGCTCACTTGCCGCCGCGGCAATCCGGAACCACTCATTCTGGGGTAAACGCGGAGATGTCGGGAGACTCTGACCCGAAAGCATCCCAAAAGGTTGTTAGAGACCCCAATATTTCTGAAGTTGGGCTAGAGTAGCTACTAGACTGGTATCCATCTCTTTGGCCCATCTGGGGTGGTGAGCCCTAAGCGCGGCACGCCAGTTCGAACCGGGTTAAGCCACCAGCCAAGGCCACACACAAATCCCTTGGACTCGGATATCCCGAGCACCATTTGATACATACGTCCAGGATAATCACGCGGATTCGCCGGCATTTCCAGAGCCGTTACGATTCGGTTTTATTTACTTTGGTTGACTCGGTCGGCATCCTACCGAGACACCCACATACGTTGATGGGATTTAGACACGATCAGGCCATTCAGCAAGATGGTCAAGCTGCGTGAAACGGTTACGAGAGTCTAATGGCTGCTAGCGTACAAAGATCGAATAGACGCCGTGGCTCAGGCTGACCTCCCCTCCAACCACATCTCTCCTCTCCTCTCCCTCCCGACAATATGCCGAAGACTTGCCACTGCGGGGAAGCTTAACCGTGGCGGTGGTGCCAAAGGGCACGCTCACATTCACAGTGGTCTGACCCTGCTGGTTGCGCGTGAATTCAATCCCAATCTTCCCATAGGGGCAATCCACGCTACCGTTGACGTGGTCAAATTCAGCGTCATAAGGCGGGTCTACCACAAAGGTACGATATGCCGGTCCTGTAGGCTTCAATCCCAGGACGGCCGCATAGAACCATTCATAGATAGTTCCCAGCATGTCGTGGCATTTGCTGCGGCACTCGTCTTGCCAAAATTCCAACAGGGTGGTTTCTCCACGTCGCAGAAACCGCATGTAGGACGGGTGCTCTTCCTGGCGGGCCATCTGCAATACCAGATCCGGTCGCTTAGCATCAGCCAAGGTGTTGAAAAGGAAACGCAGCCCGATCTCCCCGGCACGCATACGACCATCGGCCACATCATCCAAGAAGGCAGCCATCACGTCCTTGCGATATTGCTCAGGGACCAAGCCGAATTGCAAGGCCATGGCCTGGGCAATTGCGTCTCGGTCGCGTTCTGGGTAGTTGTCTAGTGAGGTGTAGTAGGCGTAGGGACGAGACGCATCGTCCGTGACCAGCAAGTGACGGTTGTACACGGCGTAGATGCGAGCAGCCCACTGCTCGAATTCTTCTGCCTTCTGCGTTTCGCCGAGCTCGCGAGCCATCATGGCCACGCACTGTAGGCACCGGTAGTATATAGCGGTCTCGATGTTAGCCTGGTTATTCCCAAAGGCAATGCCACGGCCCCAATCCCCAAGTCCGTGTTCAATCAAACCGCCGCGGCGCTCTTTGGTGCGCATATATTCCATGTATCGCACCGCTGCGGGAAATACCTTGGCGACGACATGCGTGGAACCGTAGTACTCCCTGAGGATGTCGGGCAGCAGACACACGGCACAACCCCAGGTGATGGTATCATGAAGCGGGCCGCACATGTATCGGATCTCAGGTGCCATGGTGGGGACCAGCCCACTGGGCTCTTGGGCGTCCAGAATATCGTCGAGGATCTTGGTGTACAGAGCTTCCATATCGCGAATGTACTGTGTGGCCGGCGCCAGCAGATGCGTGACCTCCAGCCAGCCGAACTTTTCAATTTGGGGACAGTCGGTGTGGTAACTGAACAGATTGCTGCTGAAGGTCCAGGATAGGGCGTTTAGCAGTTGATTCACGTCTTCCTTGTCGGTCTGCATCGTACCCAGGCGGCGGGCGGCCGACGAGACATGGCGTCCCACAACTGACCGGATGACCGGGCGGCCGTCACTGCCATCCAAAGAAACTCCTTCTACTTGGATATAGCGTGCGCTGGTGAAACTAAAGTCGGGTTCCCAGGCTTCAGGGGCGCTCGTGCCGGCCAGAAGAATACGAGAGTAGACGCCAGTCTCGAACTCCTTAAACAAGGGATCCGGCATCAACACTGTGCCGTCTTCTTTGACCGTCTCGCTATAACGAACAATAATCTCCGATCCTCTTGGTCCCTCAACCTCCATGTGCACCATCGTTGAGGCGTTCTGCCCCAGATCGTAGCAGACCATACCCGAACGCGGCTCTGTGACCTTCACTGGCTGAAAGGTCTCATGCAACACCACAGGTGGTTGAGTTTGGTAGTAGATATGACCACGAGGGCCAGTCAGCGGCTTCGCGAGGGCCCAGTCCGCATCATCGAAGTAGGGCGAGTCCCAGCCCGTTGGATACTGTCGCCGATCGTGGTTTTCGGATGCATAGATATTAGCGAGGCTGGTGGCGCTTTTACGGACGCGCCAGGATGGATCCGAAATCATCGTCGTGTGTGTGCCGTCGCTGTAGAAGAGATGCAGCTCACCAAAGAAGCAGAGCTCGTTGCCATAGCGGACATAGGTATTGTCTTCGTACATGGGCCAGAAAAACCGACCATCCCCTTTCTCGCCCGCATAGAAACCATTGCCCAGGTGCGCGCCCAGCACATTGGCGCCTGTCTGCAACTGGGCCGTCACATCGTAGGCCGTGAATTGCACGCGACGATGGTAGTTGGTCCAGCCGGGGTCTAGACGATGGTCTGACGCTGGGGCTCCATTGACAGTCATGTTGAAATGTCCAAGGCCGGATGCAAACAGAATGGCACGGGTTGGGGGCTGCACCAAATCGAAGGCCTTGCGTAGGTAGATCGGTTTGTCGCCACCGTCACCAATCCACACTGCTTTCCATCGATTCGGCTCATCCTCGAACCACGAGCGGAAAATGAGACTGGTATGAGGCATATAGGTCTGGTTCATGCTATAGGGCGGTAGCAGGTGGGATCGAGGGTAGGCTGTGAAGAAGTGATTGGCGGCGCTGTGATGGGGTCGCTGCGACTGATCCCAAACGGTCACTTTCCAGTAATAGCTGCAAGTCGACTGGAAGCCATTATCGGGTCTGCAGATGATGTTGCGTTGCTCATTACTCATCACCCGGCCTGAATCCCAGGCCAGCTTAGCTTGATCGGTCGCATCTCCTTGCACAGCCGTCTCGTCGGTGCTCAGCACCACCCGGTACGCGAGCTGGGAGGCATGTTTGTCGTCGGTTTCAATCGTCCAGTAGAAGCGGATCTCGTCCACATCAATTCCTAGTACTTCATGAAATCCATGAATCCCACATCGCGTAATCTGCATTTTGGACCTATATACTGCTCATGAATATGGATGTTAGACGGTGCTGTTTTTCCCTTCTCGCTGGGATACCCCGATTTTTGAGGGAAAGAGATGGGGTTCGTCTGTCAACATCCGAGACACGCTGGGTGTCTCGCGTCAATACCACCCGACGCCATGGGATTCATACCTTAGCATCTCACGATCTAGCCATTAATTTCCTATATTACCGCCCTGTTCTTGGCACTGCGTAGCGTCAACTAGTGTAAGTGGGGAATATTGGAGTTATGCTGCGCTGACTCTCCCTGCAACTGCCGTATATCGTTTCCGAAACCGACGCACGCTCCGCCTAAAGCACACAGATCCCTCGATTTGACATCCTCCCCCACGTGGAACTAGCTTGCCTCCAAACTAACCACACGCATCTACTACTTTAGGCCTCGAGGCCGTATCAAATACAAATAAATAACTAATTTTCCCTAATATTTGCTTAATAGATCGGTTTTCCCGCTCCCGTCGGACATCCCGACTCTTGCCTGCCGATTGACAACACCCAAAGGCGCAGACAGCGAGTAATCCAAGTATCCACCATTTTTGAACCTATAATATAAGTCAGTACGTTAACATAACCCTCTGCGGCCTAGGAGGCTTCTTGTAATGGCAAACAAGTACTTGCCCAGCTCCAATATGGGCCTAACATACATACTAGTCCTGTGAATGCAGCCGAATCTAGCTTGCTCCGTCACACGACTGCCCAGAAAATCCGGCTCCTCCTCACACAGCTTACTTAGCCGGGAATGAACAGAATGCAGATGATACGAAGTAGACAGCTTAGTGTTGGAATGCTACTACGCTCACTGGTTCGTGATCCAGCACCTTCACCTCCGCGAGTTTAATCTTATTATCCAGACCGATGCTGTCGTTGTCAGCCTCGCCTCTATATTCATTAGTCTGCCAAACTCCTATCCTCGCTACCATCCACGCTGTCTTTCCCCAGCCGGTCTGCCCAGACCCAAACGCAGATTCTAGGTCACCTATTTTCCCTGAATTTGTGCCAAGCTTGATCTCACTCATGCCACCACCCAAGTGTACAGATTTGTTCGAAGAGTCAAACATGCACTTCGTTTTCCTATCGAGGTACTATCTTTGGAACAGCTATATCATACAACGTTAACTCGTGACTGTATTGGCTCATAGACAGTAGTAGGCTATAAGGGCTTTTGTATGCGCTATAATTAGACATAGACGATCATCATTTGGGCCAGTGCATAGAATTGGGACACAGGCTATGTGCATGCTACCACCTACGTATTACACCACCACGTATGGGCTAACACACTGGGAAAATATCATCTGATTCAAATCAAGTCAAAACAGTAGAATAAATTCAGAATACATCATAAACCAGGAAATGCTGGAATCGTACCGAGCATTATCTGTAAGAACCGAATGTGTACATTGATTCTTATTCGATGTTCTATCTAAATGCCCATTGATCACCGCGGCGATAGAAGCGCCGGGCCAAGTATAGACAAGTATTACATCATATCCTACCAGTGACCCCCGTATTCATGCTGGCATAAGCCTTTAAATCAAGAAGAGGTTGGTGATCGATGCATCTAAGCGGAAGAGGGAAGAAGGGTGAAGTAAGGGATTTGAGTAATGAGAGGAAGTTAATGGACGTCAGAAACACGGGGAAATGCGTGTGCTAAATATTCCAAAGCGGATGGGGTGGGCAAGGAAAATGTAAAGCTCCGTGATGGCCTTCCGCTCTACATCAACGTATTGCCTTTGACATGCTGACGGAGGCAATGCCAGGCTGCGAGTAATCCCAGATTCGTGAGACCGGGAAGAAGCAGTCATATTGAAGTGACTGCTGTTCTGTGACCCGATCCACATCCGGTAATTCGACAAAAAAGACTAAATCTCGAACCAGGATCTTGGAACCCGCGCGAGGTTCCTTGAATTCGCTCTCGCATCAGACAATACCTAGTAGATATAAATAACTGCTCTCCTCAAGCGTTGTTTGAAATAGAGCGCAGTATTCCGATGCCCCAGGATTTCGAATACTAATTCACTACCTGACATGATGGCGAAACAGGACACTCAAATCAAGGCAACTTACTACGTTGGTTGTGCTTGTTTATATGTCCTCACGCGGTACCTCGGCATTGTTCCTCGCGATTCATCATTACTTATCGGTGGTATCATTCTCTCATGGTCGATCTCCTTACCCTTGACAGTGTGTGCGAAGACTCTCCGAAAAAGACATCGCAGCACATTCAATGATCTTCCTGGTCCACAGGTCCGAGCCAATAGTGTTTTTCTTTCTCATTTCTCCTGCAGTTGATGCTAACCGCTACAGTCATTAAACTGGCTCTACGACCGCGTGTTCGATATTTTCGATGAACCCCTAGCAAAGAATGTGACTGATTGGATCAATGAGAGAGCTTACCCAGACGGGCTTATGCATTTCTTTGGCTTATTCGGCTCCGAATATATAGTCCCTACGGACCACGAGGGGTTAGTCGAGGTACTGTCAACTCGGTCTTACGACTATGAAAAGTCCCGTGCCTTCCGGCGATACTCCGTTCGATTTTTCGGAGATAGCCTTGTTACGCAGGAACAAGAGGTGCACAATCGAAACCGGAAGACCTTTATGCCCGTATTCAATCAAACCAATATCAACATCGTCCGCCCCTTGCTGACTGCAAAATCAAGGCAGTTCAATGATTACATCTCTTCGGTACTGACGGATGTTGGTGAAAGCCAGAAAGGAAGTCAAGGGAGCAGGACAGCTATTGTTCCCATTACGGACATTGTATTCAGGGCTACAATGGACACTGGAAGTATTCTCGCACTCGGAATCGACTTGGAGACGATCAAGGGGCGGAACACACACATGTTGCGTGCCTTCAAAACGTTATTCGCCAGCAACCGTCAGAAGAAGATACGATTTGTGTTACACAATCTATTGCCAAGCTGGATCGACCGGTTGATTCCTTCCGAGGAAGAAAAGAGCATGGATAGAGCAAAGTCCCTCATTGTTGATAGCGTGGTTGATATGATGCAAGGGAAGACGGCGGAGAATGAAGTAACAGATGGCCATCTTACTTATCTATCAAATTTGATACGGTCGGGCCGTTTCAATCATGATGAATACATTGGTCAACTAAGAACTATCATTGCTGCGGGGTAGGTTATGAAAGGCGTCTAAAATATGGATGCTGCTGACCAGAAAATAACATAGTTTTGAAAGCTCCGGAGGATCACTCTCCTTCGTCATTTACTGCCTCGCGGCCAACCAAGGTGCCCAGAATTCCGTACGCGAAGAGCTATACAGCGCCAAACATGGCAAGGTTGAGCTTGAGGAGGACGAGTATGACCGTCTTCCAGTCCTCAATGCAATGGTCATGGAGTCCCTGCGTCTCTTCCCCTCTTTCGGGCTACTGCTCCGGAGGGCGATTCGCGACACTACTATCAAGGGCCGGTTTATTCCCCGAGGAACGCACATCGGTATCTGTCCAAAAGCGATCAATTGTAGTCGTCATCTTTGGGGGGATGACGCGGAGGATTTTAACTTGGAACGGTGGATTGACCGTTCCCATCCAAATAACCCCACGCAAAAGCCTACAGGAGGAGCTCCTAGTCCAGCATGCATGCTTTCCTTTGGATACGGAACCCGCAGTTGTGTTGGAAGACACTTGGCCATGGCGCAAATAAAACGACAAATAGCGCTGATTGTTGAGCGTTTCCACGTTGAGACCGAGGATGATAGGTTTCCGCATCCTTCGGGATTATTTGCGTCCAACCCACCTTTTGATTTCCGTCTGAGGTTCACCGAAGTGGAGTATGGCAAAAATGCTGTGTGACCAAAAGGTTCAGGAGACCAGGTTGTTTTTAAGTTTATTACCAATGCTATGGTCAGTTCATGTTGTTCGATCCCCATCGGGTATGTCTAGATTTCCAATGAAAGTCCGTTTCTTCTGTAGACAACACTATATGTGGGTCATCAGTAGTCAAGCTTCGTCAATGTATATTATCCCTGCTATTGTTCCTATAATTGTGCCTCTAGCGCAGTCATAGCATATAATGCTGTATTAGACGCTGCCACTTAACGAACTACATGTCAGGATACCCAGTCTGCGCATCACCGACCGGAGACAGACCGTAGCATAATGCCTCACTCAGTACGACAGCCAATCAATATCCAGGCGCTTGAAGAGTACCTTACTCGGGTGCTACCCACGATTCAAGCTCCCCTTGATGTGGAACAAGTTGAGCTCTTTTAACCCCGTTAGCCGAGGTCACGGAGGCTGATTACAATCACGTGGCAGTTTCAAATCGGACAATCTAATCCAACGTATAAGATCACTGATTCTGGCGGCGTATCATATGTGTTGCGAAAGAAGCCTCCTGGGAAGCTCTCACGAGCCGTTCATCTAATTGAACGGGAATATAAAGTGCTGTCCGCTCTCCAGAGAACAGAAGTCCCAGTTCCAAGGACTTACTGCTTGTACGAAGGTAATGATATCCTTGGAACTCCGTTCTATGTTATGGAGTTCTTGGATGGGCGGATCTTTACCGACTCCACTATGCCTGGGGTGAGTCCGACGGAGAGAATGGCCTTGTAAGTTACGCTGGACTGTCTCATAATTGGGTCCCATTTGAGCTGACTCAGGATCGTCAGGTGGAGGGATGCTGTGCGAGTGCTAGGCAAGATTCATACCACTAATGCTCATTCCATGGGGCTGCAGACGTTCGGTAAGCAAGGTGGGTACTACGACCGTCAGCTGTCGACGTTTACCTCCTTATCCCGTGCACATTCAAAGGTGGAAGATCCCTTGATCAATGTTCCAGTGGGAGATTTACCGCATTTTGACGAGATGGTCGACTTTTTCTGTCGTCATGAGCTTCAACCCAGAGACCGGCTTAGTATAGTGCATGGTGACTACAAGATCGATAACTTGATCTTCCATCCCACTGAATCGCGAGTAGTCGGGGTTCTAGATTGGGAAATGGCTACTCTTGGCCATCCTCTTTCGGACTTTTGCAACCTTACGCATCCTTATTTCTGGGACGGTCTGTACCAGGATGTGGCAATGTTCCGTTCTGGGAAGGTTGCAGGATTGCCCAGTCGCGCACAGTGCTTAGAGTGGTATTCTGAGGCTGCAGGTTGGGATCCACAACCAGAGCTTTCGTGGGGAGACGCATTTTTTGCATTTCGAACCACTGTTATCCTGCAGAGTGTTGCCGCTAGGCATGTCCAGCGGCAGACGACCAGTCCGGACTCAGCCAAATATGCCCTAAAATTCAAGCCATCGGCAGAAAGTGCCTGGGAATTGGTGAGAAGAGCCAAGGCCGGATCTAAATTTGGAAGATTGTGAACGTGATGATATCGCGTGCAAGGGCACAGAAAGTGATGTCATGGTGTAACAAGCAAGCTCGGCATCTGCAAGGTGGTGATTGGAGTTGCAGATCAAATAAGCCCAATCGTGACACAAACATATCCTTTTGCATGCTCTGATGTCTAGTAGTATCTCTGAAGATCTTGAAGTCTTGTTATTCCTGATTACTTCGAAAGGCGCTCCGTCATGCTACTCATGTGGCTTATATTAGATGAGACCCATAAGATTAAACCTGGTACGACTGCTGTCACACTCCTGAATTCTCTCCAACAATTTAAGTCCTGTCAACATTTATATATTTGCACTAGCTGAAATGTCTTTACCCAGTCCTTGGCGGACAAATGAACTTATAATTCCTTGTCAACATATTCGCGAGTATCCCGCTGCTACCACGGGACCACAAAACGATGTTCTCCATTTGGCAGTGAAACAGTACCTTCCCACCAACAACCCAAAACCACGTGCTGAAGATATAACAATTGTCATTGCTCCTGGAAGCGGCTTTGGAAAGGTATTGCCATGATTACCTTAATATTGTGTCGCTCTAATCGCTGGAAGCGGCGTAGGAGCTTTACGAGCCAGTTTTCCAAGAGCTACTTGTGCGCTATGGGAAGAAAGGGCTCAATATCCGTAGTATTTGGGCTGCAGACCCTGCACATCAGGGTGAGAGCGGCATAATCAACGAAGGCCGTGGTGGAATTGACCGTGAGCCTCTCAAGTGAACTACTGTATTTTCAGGATACGGGAAGGTCTGATAGCTGTTGGTCGTCTAGCAAGCCATTTCGATCACAGTCGGGATCTTCTCCATTTGATAAATGTCAAACGGGATGACATACAACACCCGATCGTTGGAATAGGACATAGTGCTGGATGTCTTTCTTTGTTCGTTTTCTATCCTGTCCCAGCCCAAATTAACCGGCTGATTCATTTCTTCACAGGGTTAACCTTAGTCTCATGCATCCACGGCTATTTCACGCCATTGTCCTCATCGAATCCCCGATAGTACGGCCAGTCACTCATCTCAGTGACAGCTCCGTGTTCAAAATCGACATGATGCTGCGGCCACACTTAGAGTTCTCGGTGTACAGGCGGGAAGCGTGGCCATCCCGATCTGCAGCGGCTGAATCCTTTCGCAGAAAACCCTTCTACCAAGCCTGGGATCGCCGCGTCTTTGCGCAATTCGTAAAATACGGCTTGCGCGATGTCTCGGTGGGCACTAATATCAATGGTAAGAATAGCCAGCCTGAAATGACGACACCGGTAAGACTCACTACCCCTGTTCTGTATGAGCTTGCCTCCTTTGCGCGGCCATATCACAATCTCCCTGCCCCGGATGCAGCGATAGGCGATTCTAGAAACCGCCTCACCCACCCGGATCTCGACCCTCAGGTCATTACATCGTTGCCGTTTTATCGTCCAGAGATAACTGAACTTTTCCCTCGGCTGCCCTACCTACGACCGAGTGTCCTTTACATCTACGGTAGTGAGTCCCATATGAGCCTTCCGGAGTTGAGGAGCGACAAACTGCGGACTACAGGAATTGCTACCGGAGGCAGCGGCGGGGCTGCAGCTGGTCGCGTGCGCGAGGTCGTCATGCAAGGGTTTTCACACCAGGTGCCGTTCGAAGCGGTCAATGAATGCGCAGAGGAGATATCTAGTTGGCTAGCCTGCGAATCAAGGCGCTGGTGTAGAGAGGAACAGGCTTTTTACAATTGGTGGGGTAACACTGCCAGCTCTGATTCAAGGACTATCGAGAAAGACTGGAAAGTCTATGTTCCAAGGGGTAATCGAGAGAAGTCAAACCTGTAAGGTGTGGCTTGCAGTGCCTACCCTGATTGGTGTGAATCAAGGAATCGGTCGTCTGGCGATGGTCTTCTTAATAACCCTTCCGCGAATAGATAGGCACAGGTCACTATAGCCGCTCGTTACCGAGGGCTCGTCATCAATCTAGGAGAAACAATCCTTTGCCGAATAACGCCTTTCGACTGCATGCGGCCTGAACGGGTACAGCAGGCTACAAGTCGCGTGGCAAGGCTACAGCTTTGTCCAAATAAATATCACATCTGAAAGCGCTTTAGTAGTTTAAATATGAAAGAATCGAAGTATTTAAGGTGCAGCATGGCTGACCACCATCCGATCATAGTCCGTCTCCAAGGCCATATAGCCGTCATAATTCTCAACCGGCCTGATCAGCTTAATGCGCTGGACCAGGATCATTATTATCAACTCGGTGAATCTCTCCGCCAGTTGGAGAAAACCCCCGACATTAAGATAACAATTCTCACTGGTACGGGGCGATACTTTTCAGCGTGAGATTGACAGGTCCTTCAGTTATGTTCACGGAGCTAATAGGTTCGGTGATCGTTCAAATAGGGGCACCGATGTCAGATCTGCCTTCGGAAACAAGCTCCATGGAACGGACATTCGGCGCAACATGAGTGGCACTTTATTCAACAACCTGGACCTCACTCATACCTTCACCAATTTTTCAAAGATACTGATTGTGGCACTGAATGGCCCTGTCGTGGGGCTTCCGGCGGCGCTCGTCGCACAAGCAGACTTCATCTATGCCGCACCGCACACCTTCCTCCTCACGCCATTTTCTTCGCTCGGTCTTGCAGCAGAGGGTGCAGCGTCTCGGTCCTTTGTGCGGCGCCTCGGCATATCCAAAGCAAGCGAGGCTTTGATTATGAGCAAGGAAATTCCCTGCGACGAACTTGCTGCGTGCGGATTCGTTAATGAAGTGGTATCTTCCCCTTCAGGAGATCCAAAAGACTCGGTCGGGTTTCTGGAGCAGGTCCTTGCTGAAGTCCACCGGCGATTTGACTCACTCACCGCACTATCCTGCCTAGCGCGCATTAAAGGCTTTATACGTGGACCAGAGAAGATGATAGATGACCGACATAACTACCTCGAGGTTCTTGAGGGGCTGGATATGATCGCAACTGGCGTGCCAGGGCAACGGATTCAGGCGTTGGTGAAAGGCCAAAAGAAGCATAAGTTGTGACTTTCATATAATTCGGGAATATCTCTGGTACTGTAAAGATGTACACTGTTCTAATGCCGAGCTTGGCGATTGCACTAGCGTCACCTGGGGACCTCACTAGTTCCACAGATCCCCATTACTTCATTCTGCTCTTTATTTGCTAGAATTGTTTATCTTTATGGTGCTTGCGATAGATGGAATAGTATCTCAGTAAAACTCAGACATACCGCGAAGCATATCATTCATCAATAATCGCTATAGCTCCTGCTCCACTTCAAAATACTGTCTCTATTTGCTAGTAGGGAGTTACAGTATTTCTACATGTTTCAGGCTAATAAGAATATATAATGGAACAGGTAGCTGAACCGTGAGCACCTCAGGGTTAATGTCTGTTTAATATTCATGCTTAACTGAGTTTATCGACCGAATGAAACTTCTCATCCTCTTAGCATTCAGTGATTTTGAGATAGGATTTGATGGCGGATCTGATGCGGAGACGTGCTACCGAGACAAGCTGACTAGCTAGCCAATGCTTCGTATCCGATGCTATATCTCATAGGGTAGTCTCATACTTGCTCGCCTTCCTAATCTGCGATCCATAAATCCAAAAGACCCAAGGAATAGGAGCCATGAGAAGCGTCAAAGCAGCCAAAAGAGTGGTTGCCCAGCCTTCACCAAGCCCTTCGAACATCTGGAGAGTGAACATTGGAAACGCGCAGCTAAGTATGTATCTACTGAACATCATTGCGCCCGAGGCGGATGCACCATAAAGTGGACCGTAAGTGTCCATCATGTAAAGGTTCGTCCCGGAATACACCAGCAAGCAGGAAAACACCGAAAAGCCTTGGAATACTATGGGTACCATCCAATGGACTTGGAAGTTTGCAGTCCAACTAAGAATGAGTAACGATGGTGGAAGTAGCAGGCTGCCTCCCAACGCTGATACAAGACGAGACTCCGGAGGCATTTTGAGACTCGGTTCGTGGACTTGTTTCCACGACTGCAGCCGCGGCAAGAAGAAGTACCGATCTATCAGAGCGTGGGGTATAATAGCAACCATATTGCCCACGGTCACACCAAGATACGAAAGGGCTTGGGCGGTCTTATCGAACCCATAGTACTTCTCGAAAACCCAAGGAACAGAAATCACGAATGCATACAACAGACCAAAAAGGAACCCGTTATAGAGACTGACGAATGTCACTATCGGTTCGGTCAGGAGCATGTGAATAGGCCGCTGGATTAAAGTAATAAAGATGTTCCGAAATGCAGCGCCAATAATTGTATGGTTTACATCGGCCGCACCCAGTGGCATCGCCCGACGTCGTAGGATAACCGCTTTATAGGTCTCCCTGGTGAAGATCAAGGGGGAATAGAAAGCTGCCGCGAGAATTACCGGTGCCCATTGTGTCCAGCTCCACTCTCCAGTCTGAATCATGACAAGTCCCCCAACGAGAGGTGCCAGGGTTGCAGCAACAGTTGGGCTTGCATAGTAAATAGCGAGGACGGTGCCACGTTCGCTGTCGTGAGTATAGTCCAGAATGGTTGCCGAGGCGTTGCTAATGTTTGATGACCCAAAGACAGCGGCAAAGAAACGACACAGCGTTAGGGCCGATATAGTCTTGGACACGGCGCCACCTATCAGGAACAACATGAAAATCGGAGTAGTCGCAAGATATACGGCTTTGCGACCATAAGTTTCAGATAGGGGTGCCCCAACAATTGGCCCAAATGCTAGTCCCAGATTATAGAGGGCGAGTGGGAGCATGGCGACCTCAGAGCTGCAGTTCATGACTTTCATCACTGCAGTCTGTGCGGGTGCATAGATGGCACCTGCAAAGGCACTGACAAAAGCCAGCAGGGTCACACTGGCAATTCCCATGAAACGCCTTGCCAGTGAAAAGTTCCGAGGATTATCAGGGTCGTCGAGTCCATTCCAGTCCATTACAGGGTGAGCTGGGAAACCCGGGATCCCTTTTTCCTTGTGGTCCATCTGTCCACTGTGCTCGATGATTTAACGGACAGCGAACGGAGAGCGAACAGACAGTGAACGGGCGGTAAACAAAAGGTGATGATATTATGGACGACGCTGGTCGTATATTGATTACGCAGGATGATGATTTCCTTTTCTATTCCCAGAACAAAGCGAAGACTGTGATGATGTTCCTTTTCAGTATCCACTGCCGTCAAAAGGCTGTGCGAATAGTTGTCTCGGTCAATAGAATTGTCTGGTGATCAAGTGAGAAGTCGCGACCGTTGTGCAACAGAAGGTGATGTCCTTGCCGGTGCATCGGATATCCACTTCCGAGCTCCGGTGCATTTTCTGGCAAGCCAAGTGAATTGCTTGACTGAATTCAACTCACCACTACTTCATCGTGACCAATCTTCCCATCAATGCGGGGAACGCACCCCCGGCCACTTTATACCAGCAGGGTGAGAGGACTACCTCTTACCCTTTGTAAACTTCCGCAAGGGCAATCCCGAATTTGACCCGACTTGGATACACTTGATTTGAGATAGCATCCAGTGCGTCTCCCTGACACTTTTGCATCGTGTATCGAAGCTATTGCTCGCTACTCTCCGCCTCTCCCTTCCCTATCCATTGCCTCCTCGCACTATACAACCCTAGGCCCACCAGCCATAGTCCAATGAGCACCACGGCCTGCACAGGAGCAAAAACAGCGCCACGAGCAACCACACACCCACTGACCAGAGCAAACACAACGGCAACACAGATCGTCGGCTTATACGGGCGGGGCAGCTCTGGTTCACGGACCCGAAGGATGATAGCGCCGACCATGGTCAGGAATAAAAAGATATGCGCAGACAGACCACTGAATGTCGCCAAGACCCGAAAGTTCCCGAAGTAAATGTACACAATAGAACAGGTGGTAGAGAAGAAGATCGCATTGATGGGGGCATCTGCTGTCGAAGTCGATCGCCCTGAAACGGTGCCAACGCGGGCCAGGAAGGTGGGATTTGCTGCAGCAACCACTATGCGACCGGCGACAAACGAACTTCCCAGCAAGGATCCTGCCACCACCAGGCAGATAAGACCCGCTGCTATGGCACCTTATGTAGGTCCAAGTAGGTGACTAAATGATGTCTGCAACAAAATGTCAGCCTGCGATACTTACTCACTTCCATGTCAGTGACACCCATGAAGACATTCATACCACTGCTACACTATCGGTTGTGGACACTAGACTCCAAGGCAGGAGGATATAGTAGGCAATATTCACTGCGATGAAACTGAGGATGACAATGGGAACCGCGGTATTGATGGCTAAAGGTAACTGGCGGGCCGGACAAAAAAGTTCGGCGCTAACATAGATTGCCTGGCGATGAATTAGCCATCATGAAAGAATACTTTGGGGAATGGTCTGGCAGCCCTTTCACTGCCTCATACCTTATCCCATCCAGAGTATGCCCACAGTGCACCACAAAGTGTGGCGGAATAATGACCGAGAGATTCCCACCTTTGTAACTTCTGCCACTCTATCTCCCTCCCGTCCAAGCCAACGGTGTTGCGAGCATCAAACTAGGCTCTCGCCAACCAGTCCTGTGGTTCGCGTGAGTGATCTCTATCCCGGCTAGCAAGGTGATAGAAGACGAAGCCCAGTCCCGCAACCACAGTGACTGCGATAGCAGCGAACATGGTGGTGAAAGAGAATGTGTTAAGCCGCGTACTGAACTGGGTACTGACCGAGTTCGCCATGCTAATGATGAGCTACAACCAGAGAGGATAGAAGCTTATGTGCCATCCTATCGGGTTGATCGGTCACCCCGGTCGCAGAGTAGATGCTTTCCACGAACACAATGCTCAGGATTGCGAGCGAGGCCGGCACTACCGCAACGACCCATGTCCACCCGGCGAGGAAGCCAAAGGCCTCGCTGTAGATATACTGGAGGTACTGTTGAACACCTCCTGCGGTGAAAGGAGTGAGCGGGTAAAGGGGAATCGAAGACAGAGGGTCTGTACAGACCTTCACCCGGAATCGCCGCCCTGAGCTCGGCCATAGTTGCAGCACCTGTCCAAGCCAAGATGCCCCCCACGAACCAAACGACTAGGGCTGCACCTGGGGAGGGGACATTGGTGTCAATGGCGCCAAGAGAGGTAAATATCCCGCTTCCGATAACGATATTGATGATGATGCTGAACGCCTCGGACGTACCCAAGTTCCGCCGAAATGAGGCATGGGGCGCTAGGCTAGACGCAGGGCCTGCAGTACTCCCATACTCTGGCGCAAGATTTCCTCCCAGGAGAGAACATTGATGTCTTCATCCTGGGTGGACATTCTGGCGGCAGTAGACTAAACCTGAAGATTATTGACTTCGGCGACACTGAAGTTCAACTTTCTGACCGTCGAGTCCGAAGCGGAACTGGCGGCACACTTTAGCGGCGGGGTTCGAAAAGCGAATCAATCAAATCAATCAATCACAATGCGTTGTCGACGAGGCGAGCAAGTCAACTTCCCCACCCAGCCGGAACCCCTCCTTGCGTGACATGGTCTATGAGTGGTGGGAATGTCTCGGGGCGTGGGTCCTGTCGGTCTGTTCCGGATACCACTACCAAAACAGGGGCTATCGTCGAGTTGTCCAATGCAGAATCTCCTTCGGTGTATACACTTCGCCCACCATCCTCCGGCTGTTTAGGTTGTGAATACTACGGCTGCAGGAGTATAGGAGATACCTTTAATTTGTGTTCCGTCTACCATAGTGGTTGACTTATGAAGTTTTTGGCGTGGATTTTTCAATCTAATACGCATATCATCGACCTAAATCCACCCTTAGTGGTGCCTAGGGCGGGCCAAGCCAGTCACTAGACCAGGGAGTCCAGTATGATTCCCTCTACTCCTTTCCACCACGACTGAAAAGAAGGAGACATAAGCAAGCAGGTAAAAAGGGACAGTCCTGGAGGCACACATGGTTCGGATATTAGGATATATGACGCAACCCAGCCGTGCCGTTGTGTAATTCACCACACTCAAATAGCAGCAAACCCTAAGGGAGTCTTGACTGTAGTAGATAACGCAAATTATCCTTCTGTAGTCTTATCAAGGAAAGGGATTACCACACATCAACTACTGAAAGACTTGGACTTAACGGGAGCAGAACCTTCTCCGGGGGCAGTTAGCCCAAGGGTTCTGCAGAGAAGTCAGGTAATCCGAACCAAAATGACGCAAACTAAGCCTGACCTGAATCTCGAATGCCCTGCGCGGAGGTGACAGGCCGTCATGCCGATATCGTCTGCTTCAATGCCGAGCAAAATAAATATCGGGCTTACATGGCTGTCCTAACAAAATTCTTGGCATCCTTAGCGGTGGTGCCTGGATGCGGACGATGCCCTGTGTATAGCTTGTTCATCGGTAGGCCGGATTCCTCTCGAAGGTTTCGTGTACCCAATATCAATGCTAACCCCTCAGTTTAGATCGCTTATACGAGTTCCCTTACACTATGTAGTTCAATATCATTTACTGGTGGACCGGTTAAAGATTATCTGGTGTAAGACGATTGTGGTTAACGTGATTTGACTTGCAATTTGCGTCGCGTAAGACGTGCTACTACTGGAATCTTCCTGGACGCATAACCAACCGCAGATGCTATTCAATCTCCTGGATTTACTAGGGTGATTTGATTCCACCACCGGACTCCGATGCATCTCAATATGGACAGTCGGGATGTCGCCACTTTCTGCAGACAGTTCGCTGTTGTATCGTCGCAAAGTGTTCATGGCGTTGCCTCTAGGATGGTATGAGGAAGAATGATGCCATTAGTGAAGAGTGTTGACCTGAATGATACTGAGCCAAGATCCATCCTATAAATATCAGGATAAATCTGCTGTTCTTCTCAACTCATCTCCATCGCACTACAACGTTCTTCAAGACATCAAAGCTCATTCTTCCAACGCACAAACACCTCTTCCCCGAGTTTCACTACATACCGACTCATCAAGATGAAGTTCACTGCTGCAATTGCTACTGCCATCCTCGCCAGCGTTGCTGTCGCGGCTCCCGAGCGTGGCCTCGAGGCTCGCCTCAAGGCTCGCGGTACCGGCAAGGGATCCCGACCCCTCCAGGCAGTCGCCAGACCTGCCTCGACCAAGAACCAGACCAACGTCGAGTACAGCTCCAACTGGTCCGGTGCAGTGTTGGTGGAGCCTCCTTCTGCCGCGGCTACCTACACTGCGGTGACCGGCACCTTCACTGTCCCTGAGCCCACTGGCAACTCTGGAGGCAGTCAGGCTGCATCTGCCTGGGTTGGTATCGACGGAGATACCTATGGAAACGCCATTCTCCAGACTGGTGTTGACTTCACCGTGACCGATGGAGAGGCCTCATTTGATGCCTGGTATGAGTGGTACCCGGACTACGCCTACGACTTCAGCGGCATCGACATCTCTGCCGGTGATGAGATTGTTGCCATTGTCGAGTCCTACACCTCGACCACTGGTATTGCTATCATTGAGAACAAGAGCACCGGCCAGAAGGTCACCAAGGAGCTGTCATCCAGCTCCAGCCTTGGAGGACAAAACGCAGAGTGGATTGTGGAAGGTAATATGAGCCGTGCATTCCTCTTCCGACTTTATAAAACGCTAATGTGATCTTAGACTTCGAGGAAAATGGTTCGCTCGTCGACTTGGTGGACTTTGGCACCGTCACCTTCACTGGTGCTGTTGCAAAGGCTGCGGGAGGCCAGAGCGTTGGCCTGACGGATGCTACCATCATCGAGATCGAGGAGAATGGCAAGGTGGTCACTGATGTTACCATCGACAGCGCCTCCGAGGTTACCATCACCTACGAGTAAACGCGCACACGAGGCCTGTCATTTTACTGGAACCGTGGCAGAATACGTTGATTATCTCAATTGATGATGTGATCGGCACAGCGTTTGAGTGCGATATATTAGGTAGCGGAGGATGGTTATGTAGATAGCTTTGATTTCTAGTGTTACTTTGCGGGGCCCCAGTTGAATATGAGTCATTCTTTTGATTGATCTTCCATAAGCCGTACATAAACATAGATTACAGCTTAGAGGATGCTCGAAAAGGCAGACGAGGCGCAGGTGCTGCATTTCTTAGATTCAGTAAGGCAATAGCGGACCTTTTATTCCAAACTCTAGGCCGCAAACGCGGAGTATGACTTTTATTTTTATCTATGATGTATATTCCAGTTGTGATGCTGAGCACTTAAATTGGAAAGGCATTGTACAGGTGTACTATCATCCCAGTTAAGTCTTGGACGTCCTCAAGCCCAGAAACAATACAATACATGCAGGAATTATCTACTTAAACAATCCAATTACTACTAACAACGACCGGCATTCCTGTAAGAGCAAGTGACTAGAATTCGATTACAGAATACTATTTAGTCAGAAGTAATGTAAGCATGTCCTGGCAAACACACACCGCTCCTGCATTCACATCAGTCTCCGAAGAGGCACGGAGACAATGACTTGCAATTACCTCAAGCAGCACGGCATGTGCCGGAGATCTGGGTCTGCGGAGGACCAACATCGACCGTCTGGGCACCATTGATGGTGGTAACGCTGTTGTCAATGCCGTTAAAGGTACACTTGACGCCACCCGTGGTGGACGAGATGTGGGAGATGCTTAGGGGATTGCCTGAGTTCCTCGGTTAGCATTCCCAAACAATCTACTTTGTCTGATACGTACTGATTTTGGTGCTAACACCGTTGATTGGGAACTGCTGCTGGAACTGGGCGTTTGCAGCACCGACGAAGGTGATAAGCACCTGACCTCCAGTGGGCTGTGTTTGACCGGGATTGCTGGGGGTCGATCCAGATTTGAACCGGCAAGACCCCTGAACCTGGGTCTGCGGAGGACCGACGTCAACCTGACCTACGCCGGTCACAGTAGTCACGCTGTGATCAATGCCATCAAAGGTACAGACAGCACCCTGGGTGCTGCAAGATATGTGTGAGATACTGAGGGGGTTGGCTAGTGAGATTAGCCGGGATGCATAACGAGTCGTGCGCGTGGAACATACTTATCTTGACATTGGACCCATCAGTGGGGAAGTCTTGGGTGAATTGGGCACCAGCTGCGCCAATAAAGGTGACTTGGGCAGTAGCTTGCGCTCGACCGATGTTGAGCCCAAGGACAGAGGTCGAAAGAAGGGCAGGAAGCAGAGTGAACTTCATATTGAAAGGAGGTAGTCTAGTAAGGGTCCAGTGGAGTGGTAGTAGTACGTCTGCAATATAAATCACTTGCTTTGAGCTGCTCGAGAGTCATCGATAGACGAGACTCGCCGGGCGTTTTATAGACAGAAAATCGAACAAGTCCAGCACCTTAACTGTATGGGCACTGAACAGATTCTTATGATCTACGGCATCCCCGTGTACCACTTTTGCTCTATACGAGGAATGCAATTACCTCATCTGACTGCAACCGTGGAAGCTGTTCATCAGGCGTCACCTTTTCTACCTACACTGACCTATTCGGGCTGAATGTTGACACGATCATGACGCTGCTATTCATGGAATTTAGCCTGTTCCAGTCATTTTGATGATCCGGGGAGGGCAGTCAAAGTTGGTACTATGGGATTTGGTCAGTGTAGTGACTTGGAGCTGGCTGGAGACGTACCATAATTCCGTCGAGGCACAGCAATGAAGATGTCTAACTCACGAGATCGTGACCGGCATGACCACCGGCTGAATCCGGGCTCTCTCGCATCGCCCCGAGGGGATCCATGGGTAGTGGCAGTCGTACAATTGGGCGTTGTCCACATAATGTTGCGCATATCCCATCCTCGCTATCACGACAACACAAAGAATCTGCAAGTCATTCGTAGGTCGTCCACGGTGCTCATTATCGCGGGTATAAGATAGAGAGGACAATTTTCTCAGGCAGTGGGGAGTTTTGGTGTCTGAAACGTAGACAGTGTCAACGTTAGGCATGCAGGAGCTGGATATCTGTGGGAAAATGATCAACTACGGATTATCCAGGCTCTGGTAACGTCAATGAGTGCTACTTTGAGATACTGCTGGAAGCGGCTGAACCCTCCGCAAGAGGCATTCAATGGTTCCGCCAATCAATCTCCCAACTTGCCCTCGTATCTTCCCGTTTGGATTGCTCGCCACCCAAACTAAAAAAGGACGGGGCTTATGCCTCCTTCGGAGAAAGGGTTTTATCCTGTAGTTCATACTCTGGAGTACCTGGATACTGATGATACTGACATCATCGACCCGAAGGCCGAAGATGTCTATACGAGGCACTCGTACAGAGTAGAATTCATGCCCAGCCGTACTTCCGCTGCACGGCCAACTGTAGGCTAGAAACACACACTATCGCATAATGATGGGGTGCCTGATCTTCTAACTATGTTGAGGGTCGGGAAAGATGAACCCTGCATCATCACCCTCCGCCATTTCCCCGCGGTCGGGGGTGGGCGAAGTAAATCTTAATCCCCTCGAGCCTCCGACCACCGACTTCTAAAAATACGATCAATTCATTGTCAAGGTATAAGCATAATTTATTTTTAGCACTAATTTGGGCTATGCAGCAGGCTGCCTTACCGTGGATCTTCTCAGACAAGACCAAGGAAACGTATACTGACTACAGGTAATATGGCCAGGTGAAGCTGAACTCCATCACGATCATACTGGCAGTGTGACGCGAGAATAGGAAAGATAATCCAAGTCCTAAATCCCTTTTGAATAGTATGTTAGAAGGGACGTGCCTCTTGGCCAACAAACTCCCTTCTTCCACCACAGTAGACAGCCTACCTGAGCCATCACCGGTGGTACAGATGGGGAGATAACCGCAGCTACGGCATATAAACCAGGACGAATGACTATGGGCGGACAGGATACGAGGTCAATCGGCTGACCGACGATTAGCACAGGGTGAATGCAAGACAATACTTCGACAAATAGGGCGATGGCCCAGATATAGATTGGTTTCAAGCCATATGACCCGGATGAGACTGGACGGTCGGAACCGACATAGGAGCCCAGAGGATCACCTTCCCATTAGCTCTGCAGCTAAAAACGGGTACTCTTGGGGTTTTCGACAGGCTATAGGCAGCTCCTGTAGGTTGCCGTTGTTGGAAAAGGGCCGTGAGAATTGTGCGACGATCCAGAAAGAGTCAAATGAAAATTTTCCAGTTGTGGAGACAGGCCATCGACTATTAAAACATCGTGTGGTTGTTTGACCATAGTTACATCGTCGTCCGACAAGTATGTGACTCGTTAGGCTCATCCTGCAGCAGCAGAAGCTCGAGCCCATGGCCTGACCAGGTCACTATAGGGGGATAAAATGATTGGCCGGTACCGATTAGTTCATAGAACTAACACGGTCGGCAGAAGAGACATCAATAGGACTCTGCTTGAAGTTCAGGAAACATGACTTCATTAGCCGAGTTGATCAACTCCCCCAACCGGCTTTGTGGGGAAGAGAGCGGTCGTTGAACGAGCATCATTGGCGTCTGGAGACTCTCCGGATTCCCCAGATAGTGGACACTCGACTCTTTCGGGTAAGAATCGGCATGCTGGTTCTCGTGGCTTCCGATGCCTCCTCCATCGGTGACTAAACACGATCGAATGCCCTTCACGCATTTCGGCCAGCTTTGCCGAAGGGTCCACTGCCTGCCCCAGAGTCGGGAAATGTCCGCTCGTAGGGTTTTCTTTTGCTTCTACATGGTCCTTCATTTCTTTCTCACAGGGCAACTGAGCCGAGTCCTGCACCACCATCAACCTTTGCCTGTCCTAGATGGGAGTCTTTCACGAGCAAGCGACTCATGTATAGTCCCCGTCACTCCAGCCAGGTGGAGGCTCCCAATAGCAATAAGGACATCTACTGATCCAGACGCGGTGGGGAAGCCTAGCTATAAAGCCGGACTGGAGCCCGGGATATTAGCATCACGACAGGATCAAGTCTCTCGCCCAAGATGCCGTTGACCTATCTGGGAGCCCTGGCAATGCTGGCTGCCATGCCCCCATTGGGGCAGGCCCGGTCAACCTGGCCCCTGGGCAGTGGACTGGAGCTGTCCTACCAGGCAAGCCAACATCAGATCACCATCCATCAAAACAACCAAACCATCTTCTCAACCCTCCCCGGTCAGCCCTTCCTCAGTGCCAGCGCTGGGAAGGACCAGATTGTCGAGGATAGCGGCAACTTCAACATTACCAACGTGGCCCAGGCCCGATGCCAAGGCCAGAATATCACCCAGCTGGCGGGTATCCCTCGTCGCGACAGTGTGAAGAACCAGGTCGCTGTGCGCGGTTATCTTCTGGACTGTGGTGGGGAGGACATTGCCTATGCTATGAACTTTTGGGTTCCTAAGACCCTTTCCGATCGCGTTGCCTTTGAAGCCACCGTTGACTCGGATCCGAATGCCAGTGTCCCCGTCGAACGTCTCTATCTCACATTCACATCGCACGTGCGGGAGGACTTTTACGGTCTCGGTGCGCAGGCGTCCTTCGCTTCCATGAAGAATCAGTCGATCCCCATCTTCTCCCGCGAGCAGGGTGTCGGACGTGGTGACCAGCCGTACACGGCCATTGAGGACTCGCAAGGTTTCTTCAGCGGCGGCGACCAGTACACCACCTACACTGCCATCCCTCAGTATGTCAGCTCTGACGGTCGCGTCTTCTACCTCGACGAAAATGATACGGCCTATACTGTCTTCGACTTCCAGCAGCCGGATGCTGTCACGGTGCGCTACGATAGTCTCTCGATGCATGGTCATCTGATGCAGGCTGATAACATGCTGGACGCCATCACCATGCTCACCGAGTACACCGGTCGCATGCCGGCTCTTCCGGAATGGGTGGATCACGGCGCA